TATTCATCCAACAGACGTAAAACAGTGACTCGTAGTCCATTCTCTGGCTTGCCACCATGGGATTCTAACGAATCGCATTGGCCTGAGTCCGACATTCTTTTAATGCAATATCGACCATGTTGACATTACAAGAATGAATCATATTAGTAAAATTAATTACATTAGTAAAACTGTGAAAGTCCAACGTGACCAAGTAGACCCACAGTAACTATAGATTTGTTGTAAGAAAAAGGACGGACTCCTCCAACAAGGACTTGTACTATGGCCTTGTGGCCGTTCTTTTTTTCTGATTCTTTCTATATCTTTACTTCCAAGTACAGAGAGTATATTACCCTCTAAATATTTGTTTCTGTCTATTAAATTTGACGTCACACTTAATGATTTACGAAGGTACTAAGTTGTAGGTACTGGATCCAATGCATTGTCCTTGTATCTAGTTTTGTTCCTTTCACAGCAATAATTGGGAAAGCTAATTTGGCAAATTTGTATGTATCCAACCAATAATAATCAACCGTTGGATCTAACCATTTCTGAACCCATGATAAAGAGAGAGAGAACAAAAAACTAAACCTAAACTATATTTTTTTCTGCAAACCCTCATTTTACGTAAAGACGACTCGAATAGTATATGTTTGTAGTAATTTATTTTTGTTACAAATTTATAGTAATTAGTTTAAGACGTTCGAACCCATGAAGATGATTGGAAGAAGTACTTTCTTTAAGATGGACTTTCAATTGACTTACGTCTACCAAAGGTACAATAACAATAAATAAATTGCTATGTGAGGTCAACAAGATAATTGAATGTATAAATTGGTACGTTGTGTGTAAGTGTTTGTACTGCCTCAATGTCTAGTCACGGTACAGTGGTGCGAGAAAGCTACGGACAGGTTGTGTGTTTTTTTCTTTTGTCAAGAATCCATGTCTTAATTAATCACAGAGTCAATAAATGAAGCAGGCCCAACGTTTTGTTTTCTTCTTCCTTCTCAAGAGATAAACGGCTTCTATTTGATACCTACGTTTTGTTCATTTCTGTCATTGGATCCTCTATGACGCAAAAGTTCAGTTTTTCTTTGCGTTTGATTTTGCATTTACATGTAGAGTGCTTCCATTTTTCCAAAAAAAAAAACTCAAAATTTTTATTATCTTTCTTGACCTTGACCATACTCCAATATACATACTTATGTATTATGTTACTCAAATCCACGTATTGTAAATGTATCTTCTAAAGGAAATCCCTCAAATCCACGATCATTATTTATTAATTAAAATAAAAATCCACGTTAAATATTAATTAGTTACTTATATAGTATATACACACGCACAAAACAATACTCTTGATCCAGGATACATGTCTAGGTGGGGACAAACAGCCGCAAGAGATGAACGAGAATGCGAACACGTGGCGAGACAAGTGCGAAGATGAGTCAAGAAGACTCACAAACAGAGAAAGAGCCCTCCTCCCTGTCTGGTCGGTAGTTGAAACGTTACTTGTCGACTTGGCGCGCCATCTCCTATTTTCCTTTCGTATTATAATAATACACACATGACACATGATATAAAACTTTTGTTATGGTATAGTATATATTAATGAATAATTATAGAGGGAATTGCTGAATATGACTCAAAACTTGAGTTGAAATGTAAAACTAAATCTCATATTGCATGTTTGACAAAAATAACTCACAATGGTAGTAAAATTACAATTTTAACCCTTATGACCAAACAAAAAAACGCCAACCTCAATTACTATTTTATCCCAGAGAAGTCTACTCTTTAATAATATGTTTACAATTAATTTTAAAAATTATAAAAGATAATTTGATAAAAAAAATTAGATACATAACAACAAATATATACTTTTTTACACCTATTAAAAATAAAATTTGACAGAAAATAATCAATTTAAATCATCATGGATAAATTATGATAAAAATCAATACTAAGAAACTTCTCGAGTAGACTTCTCGGTTTCTCGAGTAGACTTCTCGAATAGACTTCTTGGAGAAGTCTACTTACACGAATTTTTTTCTACATATATAAGGAGACTTTAACCTAATTGTATTAACAATAAAGTCTCTCTCTATCTAAAAAACCGCCTCTCTCTCTTCTCCCTTCTCTCTGGCCATGAATTTCTTCTCCTTCCTCTCTTGCTATCAATATCCTCTTCATCCTCTCTATCTTGCATTCAACCTCCTCTCACTTGCAGGTTATGGTAGTGGTAAGCAAGTCTGAGCTTTAGTGTTCCTCTTTTTGTTTGCTTTGTGTTCATATTGCAAATCTGAGCTTATTATTATAGATTTGAGCTTATTGTTGTAGATCTAAGTTTATTTTTGTAGATATGAATTATTGTTGTATAAATTTTGTAGATTTTGTTAATTTTTTTATTATTATTGCAAAGCTGAATTTTGTTGATTTTTGTACAGATCTGAATGTTATAAATATAGTAGATTATTATTTTAGATCCGAGCTTATTAGTTTAGATTTGAGCTTATTGTTGTAGATCTAAGTTTATATTTGTAGATCTGAGTTTATTGTTGTATAAATTTATTAGATTTTGTTCTAGATCTAAATTTTTCGTTATTGTTACAGAGCTGAATTTTGTTGATTTTTTCTGCAGATCTGAATGTAGACTTTTCGAGTAGACTTCTCGATCTCGAGCAGACTTCTCGAGTAGACTTCTCGATCTTGAGCAGACTTCTCAAGCAGACTCCAGTTGCATACATAATTTTCAGAGATTTTAGTTTACTAGTAATTTCTTATGCCAGTTTTAAGATTTATAACTAGTGATCCTTAAATGTTTGTTTGTTTAGAGGGTTATTTTCTATGTAATGTTGAATTGCATTGAATGTTTTGTATCAAATTCCTAAATTATCTATGTTTATCTATTCTACAAAATAGACTTCTCCTGTCTCGAGTAGACTTCTTAAAGACATTAACTTTACATAACTTATAAGTGATTCAGAGAGACATTTCTCCCATTTATATCATATAACTTGTCAACCGAATAGACTTCTCTTGTCTCGAGTAGACTTCTCATGTCTCGAGTAGACTTCTCATGTCTCGAGTAGACTTCTAAAAGACATTAATTTTACATAACTTAAAAGTGATTCAGAGAGACATTTCTCTTATTTATATCATATAACTTGTCAACCGAGTAGACTTCTCTTGTCTCGAGTAGACTTCTGAAGTAGACTTCTCATTGTCTCGAGTAGACTTCTTAAAGACATTAATTTTACATAACTTAAAGGTGACAACATTCGCCCTCCTTTGCTATTCGCCCTCCTTTGCCAACATTCACCAAGAAGCTCACCATGTGTGCAACCATCTCTTAAGAACAACATTTGCCCTCCTTTGCTATTATCCACCTCGAACTGCCACACTGATTCACTCTTAACCCATTCTCCATAAACAGCGGGTATGTGAGCCATTCTCTGTGAAAAAGAACAAAATCCAAACCACATTAGACATCAAAATTGCATAAGTAGACTTCTCTGAAAGTCGGATGAAGTCTACATAGTAGATTTCTAGAGTAGACTAAGAAGTCTACTCTTAATAAGCTAAGTATCATATAAAACATGAAAACTCATTCGACTATACCTATAAAATATAAACATGCAAAACTTATACATAAGCAAGAAAACTTAATAACAGAAGCTTAGGATCGCGAAAATCTTAAAAATTCGTTATATATTGTATAAAAATGATTTTTTTTTAAAAACAAGAAAAGTAGACTTCTCGGATAAAAGTAGACTTCTCACAGGTTAGTTTTGCAATTGCCAAAATATTAGTAGACTTCTCTATGAAAAGTAGACTTCTCTGAGAAGTCTACTTTCATAAGTAGACTTCTCGTAGGTCATTTTTGCAATTGCAAAATATTTGACTTTTTGGTCAATTGCAAAAATGACATGCGAGAAGTCTACTTACGAAAGTAGACTTCTCGGAGAAGTCTACTTTGCATAGAGAAGTCTACTCTACAAAGTCAAAAGTTGGTCAATTGCAAAAATGACCTGCTTCTAAAGAAGTCTACTCGAAAAGTCTACTCCATTTTTTTTGTTATCAAAGGAAATAGAGTAGACTTCATTCGGACCAAAAGAAGTCTACTTTTCATACGGTCAATTGCAAAACTAACCTGGGCGTTGACTAGTAGACTTCATTCGGACCAAGAGAAGTCTACTTTCGGAGCATTTTCGTAAATAAGTGAGGAAGATGAAGATTAGTTGGTCATTTGGATTTCCGAAAATAAAAGAAATTAATTAAAAATAATGGCAATTTCGTGAATAACTGAAACTATGAAGGATTGTTTGGACACAAAATGACAAATATTGGGAAAGTGATTTTTGTGGGTTAGATTTGCAATTCAAATTAAATTTTAGGTTATTTTTGTAAAAATCCCATAATTCTATGCTTTTTGTTTGTCGCGTTTATTTAACATTTGTGCTTTTCTCTGGATATTATTTAGTAAAATTCTACTGGTTTTTTTAAAAAAGGATGGAAGTATGATTTTGAGAGAATATATAGAAGTTAACGGTTTAAAACTTTATACGAATAGCAAAATGACTGGAACTGGTGTGTTTGCAGAATAATATTTGTCTAAATTGAAAGAAAAAAACGGTTAAACATAAAAGAAGAAAACTTGTTTTTTTGGCGGTAATATCAATGATCACATGCGTTTGAAAAGAAAAAGATACTACAGTAGAAATTTAGAATGATTTAAAATGTTATTACAATTTCAATGTTTGGTGTCAAAGTGCAACCATTGTCGAACGTGTGGCGTGATGAGAATCGTTAATCATGGCCTAAACCGAAATAATAAGATTGGAAAAATATTCAATCAGCTTCGCATTTGGTGATGGGACCCAACAGAAAAGAGAGTCTCTTAGTCACGTGGCTTCTTCTCCTCGGAGGATGAAAGGACGGCACCGCCCCTCTCTTCTCGTTTTTATTTTGAGTACTCTCTCCTCTATGCTAAAATTGTTACATTTCATTTAAATATACTACTAATGCTTTAACCTTTTCTCCTTTAGCTTTTATATAAAAGACTATAACATTTACATGACAAAAAAACTATAATACTTTCAAATGTACATACGTATTACGATTGTACCTTCAAGCTACTTCATCAACTTGCTAGAAAATACAACTGTAAAATGGTTTCGAATTTTAAGAGTCCCAACCAAAAATGTAACTATGTAAACTTGTGCTAATGAAAATCACAAATCCTCAACAAGAAATACTAAAGCAAAGAAGTGAAGCAACAACTGTCACCAATAATCTCTGCAGGAACATAATCCATTTCTAAAACGATGGAATCTGTTCCGATCTCTTACAATAAACTCTCTACCATAAACCTCAGAGATATGCTTTGTTACCGTATGACAATCCTCACATACCCTCAAGTTCTTCACTATCCTAATCGTTGTACCAGGCTTACTCTTCATCATACCATACGCAATTGCTAGTTTCTCGCTATGCATATGAATCGCCTTCTCCTTCTCCTCCTCGTCTACATCGAAAAACGCATCACCTGTGTTTCCTTTATACCCTATCAATCTTATCTTCCCCAAAATCTCTTCCCACTTCCTTTTGATCTTACCCATTTCAGGATGCTTCTGACCATCAACTCCCATGGAGAACTTGTTTATTTTCCCATCAATCTCTATTAAGCTCCACCCCTGTGGTTTCTTAACAAGCTTCTCCTTCATCATGTCTCTCAAGCTCTCGATTTTCTCCCATTTTCCTGCACACGCGTATATGTTTGAGAGCAAGACATAGTAACCGCTGTGTTCTGGTTTCACATCTATCAACATGTTTCCCACTCTCTCTGCCACCTCGGCGTTCTTATAAATCTTACATGCTCCAAGCAAAGCTCTCAATATAGGAGCATTTGGCTTCATCGGCATTTCAAGGATAAAGTTCTCAGCTTCGGCTAATTTTCCAGCACGGCCAAGCATGTCAACAATGCAACCATAATGCTCGAGTCTAGGCTCGATGCCATAATCCCTTTTCATGTTCCCATATATCTCCAAACCTTTATCAACTAACCCACCGTGGCTGCAAGCTGAAAGAACCGCTGTGAATGTAACATCCCTTGGGATGAACCCTGTTCTGACCATTTGGGAGAAGTAATGAGTTGCCTTGTGAGGATGTCCGTGCACAGCGAGACCTTTGATTATCGAACTCCAGCTCAAGCTATCCTTCTCAGGCAACTCCTTAAATAAGCTGATCGCTTTCTCGATTTCTCCACACCTCCAGTACATATCCACAAGAGCTGTCCCAAGAATGAGATTCAGAGTCATGTGATTCTTAACCACATACTCATGTGCTCTTTCTCCAAGCTCAAGCGCACCCAAGTGAGCACAAGAGGAAACCACACTCACCATAACCGTCTCGTTCGCAACAACTCCTTCCCTTTTCATGAGTTCGAACAGTTGAATAGCTTCCTCGAAACAGTTGTTCTTCGCATACCCATTGATCATAATACTCCAAGTAACCAGATTTCTGTGGGGCATTTCATCGAACATCTCTCGTGCATCTTCAGCCATCCCGCATTTGCAATACCCAGTCACCATAGAAGTCCACGAAACCACGTCTCGAAACGGCATTTGCCCAAAGATTCTACCGGCGGCAGCGATCAACCCACAATTAGCGTACATGTGAACAAGCGAATTCTCTACATAAACATCATTCTCAAATCCGAATCTAACAATCTGCGAATGAGTTTGCTCTCCCGTTGTCACGCACTCCATCTCCCCAGAGGCTTTAATCAAAAACGGAAACGTGATGTTATCTGGCCGAATACAGGATCTCAACATCTGGGTATAGAACCCAAAAGCTCTGCTTGGTTCTGCGCCAATGGAGAAGCCGCGGATGAGCAAGTTGAAGACGAAAAGGTTAGGGCTTTGAATCTGGGAGAAGATTCCGTATATATATCCCAGGAAATTGGTGGATTTGTTGAAGGAGGAGGAGTCGACGCAGAAAGTGAGGAGACGACTGGCGACGAAAACGTCGGAGACGAGATGGGTTCGTATGAGAAAGCCATGGATGATCTTGAGGTTGGAGAAGGAAGAGCAGTATTGGAGCAAGGCAAGCTTCGGGTGTTTCAAACGAAGTGTGTTGAGCACAATGTTACTCATTCTCTGAAAAAAGTACCCAAAAGTTGGCAACTTAATAAGAATCTATAACGTCGATTTCCTTTGTATACTAAACTTGGACAATAAAAAGGTAGAGCTGGAGCAAATAGATTTGTAACAGAGAGCATAAACAAAAATATTCTCAGTCTAATAAGTATAACACTTTCTCTTCCATCTGCATTTTTCAAAGGATATGGAAGATCTTACAAAAAAAAAAAGTAATCTAAAAATCATAAGATGATTGTCTTTAGAAAGAAAACTTGAAACCACCAGCTTTGGAATCTGATACAGAGTCCCAGAAAGTAACTTTTTGTTCTTCGGCTCTCTTCGCTTCTTCTGCTTTCTTCTCTAACTCTTGGATAGTCCCGGGGTAATCTCTTTCAATGGCCATCTTGAATTTGTCGTGCAAATTCTCTCTGTCAGTTGTTCCCGAGACGAGCTCTTTAGCATTCGGTTTCTTCAGAAACTCCAGCACATTCAACAGATTCCTCCTGCACAAGTAATGTAGTATCTAATTAGACCAACTCAATTTACAATTACTACGAAATTACTTTCCCTCAACAGAAACAATTATTGACAACTTCGTTGAACCAAGAAAAAGACAACTTCGTCTACTTAAAAGACGCATGACAAAGCTGTCCAACTAAAGAGCGAGTTAGCCTTTACCTGCTAACATAATTCTGAGTAATGGCAATTGATTCCTCCAAGTTAATCACGAGATGCCACCAACCATTAGGTACAAACATCACCTCCCCGGCTTTGCATACACACTCAATAGGTCTCTTCTTCCATTTTTTAGTATCACCATAAAAGTTCATGAACCACTCCATTATGGAAACAGGACAGGCCACTTCCGCGCCATCAGGACTTGGATGCACGCCCGGAGGAACCACATCGGGCGGGAACAAAACCCATTTTTTCGACCCTGTGATCACCGCATTCCAAGCGGATGTTGAGTTCGGATCAATGTGGAAAGACGACCCTGAACCGGATGGTCCGATGATGATCCACCTGTAATCAGGCCGCCCGTTGCCTAGAACACTAAACAAGTCCTCTCTGAAGTAGACAGGAACCTCGTACTCCGTATCCAAAACCGGAACTTTCTCTGCAAACTTGGGATCAAACAAGTACAAGGGCCTTTCCTCACTAACTCTATCAGAGTACCTGAAGTAGTTCTCGAGCTTCATTTCAACTGGACCGACTGCGAATTCGACATCCCCAACCACCTTAGTCAGATAATCTTTCGACCACTTCTCAGTGGCAGGCCAATCATCCAAACATCCCTCCAACAGAACCGGCTTGTTCGGTTCCTCAAACTTGGTGACGAAGTCTTCAACAGAGATGCCTCTCACACGGACGATATTGTCTCTCTCGAGCCATTCCCGTTTCATTTCGAGGTTCGCGCACAGCCAGCTCTGAAACAGATAGTCGGAGTAGAAATCTCTAATCTTCAAAACCGATTTACCAGCTCCAGGAAGCTGGAACTTGGGATGGCGAGCAGCTACATAGGTAGATTTCCACGACCCGGCAAACAAAAACTCGCCTTTTAACTCCTCCAGCACGAGGTTTCTCCAGAGAGGCTCGTGATTGGCGAAAATGTAGAAAGATTTGGTTACAGTAGCCAAAACACCCAAATGGGTGGCGCCGAGAAGCCCTAGGATATCCAGAACGAGCTCGTCCGTGAGTATCTGGAGATTACCTAATCCAGTGTTTCTTTCATTCACCGCGCCCCGATTGATGAAATACAGGTTTCCGAGAGGTTGAACTCCATGCTCGCGCGAGGTACCTCTAGTTTTCAGCTTGAACCCTGGTCCCTCATCTTCTTCTTCTTCTTCTTCTTCCTCTACTAGTGCACTCTCTGGCAACAGAGCCTCGCCTTCATTCCGAAGGGGCTTTCGTCTTTTGGATTTGGATTTGGATTTACGCCGCATGTTTCGAAGATTGGAGGCTAGCAACAGATTCTTGCAGCTTGGCATCTCTTGACGGAGCGGCGAGGGTTTTTGGGTTTTAAACAAGGACTTTCATTATCTGCCTTCCGGTTTTTGATCAATGTATAATTTGAACCGGAACAAAAGAATGTAACGGAAAATGTCTCTTGGGCTGAGAACCGGTTAAACCGCAATTGATTAGATTTTGATAATATTCCTCTAAAAAACAACACTAAGGATTGAGAACTTGACGATCAAAAGACGACACCAAGTTCCGTTAACTCAAAAGACCCAGACGTTTTTCTTCTTTCCAGAGAAAATCCAAACAAGAATCTGCTTACAGTAAGAAAGACGTGATTTTCGTGTATCCTTACACGATCTCTTTAGACAATAATCAAACCCCATCCAAGACATTATGCATTCCAACCCCCAAAACAAATGAAATATGGCAAACACAAAAGAATAAAGAAAATAAAAACTGCACATGAGAAAACATTTTTTCTCAGAAACCATGAAGATGGAAAATATTGCAGGCACACCCACTCCCAGTATTCACATTATGAGCTTCAAATCCAACCGAGTTGGAGAATGTCATCTGTTTCACACTTGCGTGCTTGAGAGACATCTCCATTGCCGTATCCGAGGGGTCTTTTCTAGAATCATTTTCAAGCCCATGTTGTTCCCTTGCATCCCGTTCATGTACCTGCATTTCCCATTTGCAACCCAACATGGATAAGTATTTAGTTTCAAGTCTGCACAAGTGTTATCTTTGTCTTTTGCTAATTGCAATTACTCATCTACTCCAAACTCAAAACTCAGGTCCAATAAGCTATGAGAAACATAAGCAAATCAAAGTTCGAGACTGCGTTTGCTTACTTGCTTCGACGAGCCTTCTGTCTCCAGAATACAAAAGATGTGATCCACTGTACAGGAATAAAGAGAAAAATCAGTGAAGGTGTACCACAATCCGTTTAGAAATACAGAAGAAAGCTTAGCAATCATTGTGTTATGTGTGTTGGTAAAAAATCACAACCTACTGATTGGTATAAGAAACAAAATCACCTTAAAAACAGATATGAAACTGAATGCTCCAACAATGGATGCTTTCCGCAGAGGTAATCTCCGTTCTGGGATTATCATATCCTTTGATAGATGTTGGGCAATTTCTTTCAAAAGAACCATTTGAGCTTTCTCTGTCCTCATCGACATAATCGCCTGTCTCATTGATTCCCTGTCAGCCTCTAGTGCTTGAAGCCTCATGTAGAGTTTCGTTATATCAGGATCCCCAAGATCCGGCTGATTCATTTTTTCTCCATAGCCATCAGCAGTGTCATCCCTAGACTTCTTCTCATCAGCAGCACCACTATGAGATACACCGTGATGGATAGAATCAATGGTATAAACTCTATCATTCATGTCATTATCTCCAATCTCTGAAGAGTCACCCTTACCCTTTGCAAAGGAATTACCCTCTTCTGCATACGAGGCATCTTCCATTTTCTTGAAGCTACCGCCGTTGGACCTTGGGAAATCAGTGGAAAAATCAGGCCTTTGGTCCCTAGTTGTTTCCAAAAGTGAACTCGAACTACCAGTGGAAACCCTCCTGATATGTCTCTGACGCCTAGGACTCTGACCAACCACCACCTTCTCCAAATAATTTCTCCCTCCGGATACATCGCCATTAGACGGAGTGAAGCTAGGAATTCTCTCCATCTGACTTATCCTTCGTTCCAAAGTCTTCAAATTTTCTTGGCCGTGAGGAGAATCAGTCAGTGGGTACTTTTCAACATCGTCAACATCAATATCAGCCTCAAGGGGATCTGGGTTCTCGTTCAAGTTGCACTTAAGAGGAGGGTAATCATATGTAGGGAGGTCATACTGGAAATCGTTGTCAATCATGCTCGGGTTACGGCTAAGCACGTTCGTCTCCCCATCAACCTCGGCCTCAGTGACCCCGTAACTCATCATTCTATGCTTATAAGCCTGAGCTTCACAGGTGAGAGCCTGAATCGTCTGCTCCCTCTTATATATCAAGTCTTCCAGAGCCAAAAGCTCTTGCTGATCATGCTCCATCTTCTCCTCAGCGAAACGCTTAAACTGCCTCAGTTCCATTTGGAGTTCAGCCTTCTCCCTCTGCAACCTCAGTATCATAGACATTGCCTCGCTTGCAGCTGTGGATGCAGCGTTCCGCTCTTCGTCAAGCTCAGCATACAGATCTTGAATCGATTCCTGTTGGCTGCTGACGGTTTCACGTAGCAGTTCTCGTTCATTCTCGATATGGACTTTAGCATTCGAAGACAAGTCCAAGTCCAGCTCAGGTATGTGGAATGGTTTCTCACTCTCAAATTCCCCGTACTTTCTCTTCGAAGACCGAATCCAAGAATCCGGGGAGCAATCGCATCCACAATCACAACATCTGGCCACGCCCCTGGGGGCAGATACAATTCCCAAATCCATAACTACTACAGTATCCAATTCACAATCCCAGGGTTTGGCACATAAACATAGTAACAATCACCAACAAGCTCTCTTAATCGAAATTAGCGCCAAGAGGAAGACCTGAATCGCGCCAATCCCAAAGCGAATTCTGAAATTAGAATATCCCGAGAAATCGTAAACCTTGGCTGGCTTACGGGGATCCAGCTGAAGCGAATTCTGCGAAACCACAAGTTTCTCGTAATTAGCTCATGTAAAAGTCAAATTCCCAGCAAATGTTATTCAATCTAAAGCGATCGCTCGTCGCGAAAAACAAAAGCTTCTTCCATCGGAGGAGTAGGAAAAAGCAAACAGAAGATCGTAAATCGAGGAACTTACCTCCAACCACTCTAAGAACAGGTCAAATTAAAGCCAAGCGTCGGAATTTTCCAGGAAAATAAGCTTATCCAAAGGAAACAGAAAGCAGAGAAGCTAATAATATCTCCTATGACTTTCGGGAAATCAACAGAACCAACAATTTCTCTCTCTTCTGGCTTTTCTGGGAAAACGAAAAGAAAAAGAAAAAAAAAAAGCAAAAAAGAGAGAAAAGAAGAAGAAGCAAAATCCGTAGTCGTAATCGGAAGGAGGCAAAAAACAAATCGCGGAAACGAAAGAGAAGAGAGAGAGAGAGAAATGTTCTTCCTTTTTTCCCTCTGGTTTTTGAAACCCTAAAAGATTCTGTTTTTATCTTCCAATTTAAATCGATATATGAATCGAGAAAGGCTTTTGTTCCCCATGGAGAGTCTCGTGGCAATGACGACTAAGGTTTATTTTTGGTAAATTCGAGTGGTAAGAAATGTTAATAAACGGTTAGGATGAGTTTTGGGTTGAGATCGACGGCTGAGATCTTGGTTAGATGAGGTGTCTTTACCTGCGGAAAGTACAGGTCAGCTAATCTGGATTTTAAAAGAGTGTAGAGAGATAAGGAGCTATTCTTAGACGCCTCATCTAAGAACCAATTACTAAATTTGTATAAACGAATTTGCAACTATCTCATCTTTTCGGATAGTGTGATTCTACAATATGACAAATGTAAACATATATATATATATATATGCACATATTCTTCCGTTTAGTAATTTAATAACGAAGTACTGTATAAAATTATTAAGAATGAACGATTTATTACTTGTAAGTTGTAATAACTTGTAAGGAGTCATTCTTGAATTTGAACATAAATGCATGTTTACATAGTACTATAGAAGAAAGAGAATTCTCATGATCAACTTTATCACTACATGATTCTGGTTTACAATGGAATTAGTAAATTATACATATATATGAACTTGTCTAATATGTATCTTGGAAGTGAAATATTTATAATTGTTAAAAATCTACGAAATTTGCAATCAATGTAAAGCCTTCAGATAGTCCAACTGCTTAGGTTTAGAGATTAATTAAGTATATGTTACCATATAACATATTATCAAAGAAATTCCTGTACAAAAAAGAAGAAAATATAACCTTCATCTTACCACCATCATCTTACCTAGATGAATAGAAGAGCAATTTGTTAGTAAAAACCATCTATCACCAACCACAAATTCAATTCCAAAGGATTTAGAGTTCAAAACGATTTGAAAAAGTCAAATCGAAACAAGCACATACAACAATCAGAGTAGCTCAAACCAAAAATTAGATATCTCACCTTCTTCTTTATTCGTATCTTCCTCCCCTTTCTTAACTCCTTTATCTTCATCAAACTTCACCTTACCACCATCACTGCAAGTGGGTGTGCTCAAGCTGGATGTAGAGTTTGCGAAGTTTTTAGTTAGACAGGCGGATACTGAAACTCCGTTTTTTACAACTACCTTGATCATCTTCTTGGTACTAGGTCTGTTCGATGCCTTTGTCGTAGTGTTAGGCTATGCGGTTTACGTAGAAAGTTATAGAAAAAGAGGAATTCAATGTATTATAAATCAACTATCATTACAGTTTTTATGGAACGATTTCAACAACAATTTAAATTTTACATATGAAATTTGTGGGAGACAAAAAAATAATTCTATAGGCTAATATTGCGATCAATATAAAGCAGTCCTCTTCCATGCTTAACTGCTAAATACGAGTGTAATTTTCCATTTCTCCTCTAGTGTGGTTGTAAATATTTTGGTAGCCACTTTCTTGTTTTGGCAAATTTGAATATTCATACAATTTCCATTTATAGCAATACTATATACTATAATTTAGTTATTGTAATACATTTAGAAGATATAGACTGAATTTCACTATTACATATTAGCAAGATTTTGTAGTTATATATAGACTGATTTTATAAACTCATGTGGTTCGAAAATGACAGAATAAGTTTGCGTAATGTTGCAAATTCATGTAGTAATTTTAGGTAGTGTGATTGATGGAAGAAACAGATAATCAGATATCAAGAATAGTGTGATTGATGGAAGAAATAGATAATTAGATATCAAGAATAGTGTGATAATCAGATATCAAGAATACTCTGATTATCTATTTCTTCCATCAATCACACTAATCCATTTGGAGGATTTGAATGACATCTGAATTTTATCATCACAGTTTTGAATACTAGCTAGAAATTTGGCATGGCAGATTGGCGATCTGCATATTTGAAATTTAAAATAGGGATACGATGAAAAAGGATATAGCGAAACCAAAAACATTTTATATAATTAAGGATATATATGTCTCACCAAATTACCAAGCAAACTTTTTCAGATGTAGTTCTAAGTGATCACGTAAACTCGTAGTGACCTAGGTACAAGCGAGCCAAAATGCTAAAATATATCAGAGAAGGTGTCCATAAAGTCTCCAATGATACGAAGAAGCTGTTCCGCTGATTGGGAAGATGGATTTTTGCTGAAGAAACCATGTTCCTCATTTTCGAATTCAATGTAATCTACTCTTTTGCCTCCCATCTTCTTCAATTTATATGCATACTCTTTGGCCCTATCTTTCAGGAGTTCTGAGCCGCCGGCAATCACCAACATTGGCTCTATGCTAATTGATTCGAGTCCACGACTCGTCGGCCCAAAAGGGTTAGCCATGGGATGATCCCTTGTTGCACCTTTTGGTAGTGACAGTCTCCAAAACCTTCAACAAGTTAAACTTTAGTCATTTCTTTTTAATTTTTTTTTTATATTAAGATATATTGACATGGGCGATACCAAGTTTTACTATACATATGGCTTTATGACAATGGCCGTGAACAAGACGCGTCAATCATCAATCATCTCATTATTCAAATAGAAAAGGAGAAACGATCAATTGGAGAGACGACTTGAATGATATGTGATCCCCATGACTCCACGTTGATAAACATGAATGAATTTGCACATTAGACTATGTTAAAATATTATTTAAAAATGTGAGACATTGTTTGCATTTGGTTTTTATCTATATTGTGTGCAATGATGGTCTAATGTGCATAAGCAAAGTTAAGCTGAGATAATAAAGGAAACGAGGATAATGCATGACGCACTATCTCGGTTCCAAATATATCGATTACTATTCTTGATATCTGATTATCTATTTCTTCCATCAATCACACTAATCCATTTATTCACAAATAAAAAATGACCTAAAATTACTACATGAATTTGCAACATTACGCAAACTTATTCTGTCATTTTCGAACCACGCGAGTTTATAAAATCAGTCTATGCTAGTATTGATAGTTGGTAAGTGGACATTCTAAACCTCCACATTTTAAATTTAAACCATATTTAGTTTTGCAAAAACCAATTATACTATATAACAAGTGAACTAAACTAATCACAGACTTTTTTTTTCCAGAAAACATCAAAAATACTAACAATTTAAGCATGGTTATAATCATGTTGAACCAGTCAATTAGCTTTAAGTTTATGTAGTAGTCTATTCTTATCGAATGTGTGTAGCTACTGTATATCATGGATTAACATTTTTGCTATGATCAGTTCGTTTAGTAAACCATTTTCCCCACCCAAAAAAAAAAAAAAAAATCCTGAGTTAGTATCTTGTAAAATCGTTAAATGGTAGGGTCTCTGATTAGTTGTCATGATTTTTTATCAGGTTTCTTTTAGATTTTTTTTTTTTTTTAATTCGAGTACTTTTACCATTCAAGATCTTTTCTAAGTTGTCGTCCATCTACTGGGTATTTTCCTGACGACCGATTCGTGTAGCCACTGTGATCGGAGACCCATATATTTGAAAATCCCTTTTAATGTTAAATGATTTGTGACTAATCAAATAGTGGAATATTAGTAGATTAAGCACATTGACTATTTTTCCAGCTGACGGAATATCTTAACAATCATATGATGGGCTTAAATCTCACGTCTTAGCCAATTAAATCAATGAAAATTATCATCATAAATTTCACGCTGAAATTTATTGAAAGAGTAAAAGATTAATAAAAATGAAATCTTTTAAATATATATATGTGTAATGTTTGTAAAGATGTATACTGGCAGGAAAAGTCGTTTTCCTTAGAAAGTTGCGTTTTTTTTTGTGTGTGTGTCATAACTCATAATTACTGGTATTCTTTTCCTTTGAATTAGTTGGGGAATCCGACAATATTAAAACTGTATATAATTTGTAAATGTCATATTGTGTCATATGTTTCGTTATCCAAACAAAATGATCTTTTGGCTGAAGGAAATTTCTTCTTCCAATTAGACTATTAACTCATGCAATATAAAATATCACAGATGTTTATTAAAAAAATGTGAAAAAGAAAGAAAGAAAAAGAGACATGTACTATATGTCTGTGTATTCATGAAGAGGCACTGTGGCTCTAGCTGTCTCTCTCATGCGACTCGGCAATTCACTCTAACGATTTAATTGGCATTACTTGCATAATAGATAATATGAAATTAAAGTAACTGAAAACGACATATATACATATAACCCCCCTATATAAATAATAATATTATGTATATAAGCTGAATAGTTAATAGTTAGGTTATAAGCAATGAAGTCATGCATGACTAGTAGTAATTCATTGAACTTGTATATATTTTAATGTTTATGCACAAACAAATATATATTCGGTACGTCTAAAGAAAATTAAAATATTGTGTTAGCTTACTTGTCAAGCAAATCCAAGCTGAGCAAAGCTTCAGACGGGCCATCCTCGGACTTGGTCCTCTCCTCCCCGCCAAAAAACGGCCCCAAAAGAACGTAGCCGCGAACCCGAACCGGACTCAACTCGATTGTACCGGATGCGAACCGGAAAGCAAGGTGATGAGCTATGTTCCCACCGGAGGAATCACCAAGGACGTAAACCCTGTCGAAGTCAACGCCCGGTCCACCTTCGAACCAGTGGTCCCCACCACCGGAAACAGCCTGGTCCCGGACCCACAGAAGCGCGGCCTCCGCATCCTCAAAGGCGGCCGGGAGGCGATGTTCGGGTGCTAACCGGTAGTCAGGCGCGACCACAAGGGCTTGGAGGGAAGATGCAAGAGTAAGACAGAAGTTGTGAAAGAGAGGCCAAGAACGTGAGCCAAAGCAGAATCCACCGCCGTGGAAGAAGAACACGACGGGGATGGTGGTGGCGGAAACGGAAACGGGTTTGTAGAGACGGAGGTGAAGATTGTTGGGTTTGTGAAAGACGGAATCTTTGAAGAGAACGGCTTTGTGGTTATTGAGTGGGATTTGTTGGGTGATAAGGTCAATGCTATTGGATCGCAAAACGGTGCCGTTGCTTAGGAGTTGAAGAAGACCCATGCAGTCTTCTGCTACTTGTGGTGCTTCTTCTCCTAGTGACCCCATTTCTTCGTTTCCTCCCTTTTGGATATATATGTATCCAAATGTCATGTGACTGAAATATATAGAGCAAATGGAATGGGTATTTTTGTAATATCAAGATGGTAAGTCAGATAGAGTGATATATATCAAAAACATGTAATAATTCTTTGAATATTAGAGGGAGCCCACGTTTTTATTGTTTTGCGGCTGATTCGACTCATGTGACAAAGTCATTCCTGTCGACTTTTCTCCAACTTATGATTTGTCAAAACTAAAAGATGCACTACGATATCTTTAAGAAAAATCTGTAACTTGTTTTTTTCGCGTGTAATTTAATGATAAGAACATGACGTTAATATTGCACTTACACTACCTTCGAATGATCTTATCTTGTTACAAAATGGTTGATCTATGATTATCATGTATAACAGATGAAACGTATCTATAAGTTAAAAGCAAGGGAATGAACATATTACAACAGATCGAGATCGGAGAATTCCATAATATTTTTGGTGCTTGGGGATACACGTCGCTCTCCTCTTTACTTAAGATTACCACTTTGATAACAAGTAAACGCAATAAGATGCAAATGCTTACATCAGCTGTTTTGTGAATAAAACGTTGCGTTTTTACCAGAAACAGTACGAGACCAAAGACGCAATGTAACACAAAACAACATAGCAATAATACATATCTCTTCCCTCTTATTATATTACTATAAACCGACAAGAGCAAGCAAAAATCATTCTGGAGTTTCACTCACCCACATATGTTTTACCAAGGAAACGTTTACCTGAAGAAATGCACAAGGCACGTTTAGAAACAAACATGAGGAGGAATTAGCTTTCCCGGGTTCATGATATCGTTTGGGTCCAACGCTTTCTTGATTCTCTTCATAGTTTGCAGTGCTTCTATTCCCAGTTCCTTCTCCAGATACTTCCATGAATCACAAAGTACACATTCATATAAATGTAACACGAGACATGATGATAATAACTAAAAGAAGCATGGGTTTCAACAAGTATTGATGCCCAATGCCAGAGATGGCAACAGAGGGAATCTAGATTTTCTCTCTCTGACACAGGGATTTTTGCTTTGGCAATAACAAGACATCATGAGCTATACCTTCATTTTTCCTGTCCCAACACCGTGCTCTCCAGTACATGTTCCTGATAAACAGAACAAAGTGCAGATTTAGAAAACAAGTGGCATCATTAGAACTTGTTATAAAGTTCCAAATCTGTTACAGTCTATAGTACTTATGCAAAACAGATAGAATGTAAAAAGGCATTTACCGTCCATGGAAAGTGCACTGTGAACCATAAAGTTGTTCAATCTTTCTGCCTCTCTTCGCTGCTCTTCATTGCTCGGATCGAACATAATACATGTATGAAAGTTTCCATCTCCAGCATGCGCAATGACAGCACTGAAAAGTGGAACAACTATAGTCAGCATACACTTCATTCAAGGATGATGCTTATTATATTCATGATGCTGATCACAGGCAACTAATATACCACAACAAAGGTGATGCATCAAGCTCTTTCTTGGATCTTGATATCAGTTCTCCAAGGTGAGACAAAGGGACACAGACATCCTGCAGGAAAGATGGTGACAGAAGATTCCTTGACGTTCGACTTTATTAATAAAAAAATAGAGCAAACAGCAAAAAGATTTATGGCATAACATGATTTGAGGTGCCCCTGATTGTAGCTGGGAACCTTCATCTAGAACCAGAGTGTATCTAAGAAAAACAACATACTGTAGTCATTGCTTCATGGCCTGGCGCCATCGCATAGCAAGCCCACAGCGCCTCCTTTCTTATCTGCATACAAAAAAAGAGTCAGAGAAATTAGATCGAAGTACAAATTTCTCCTTCTTTTCTGCTTCTCATTTTATGCTAAAAGGTCGAAGGGAGAAAGGGTTGGGAATGTGGCAGAGAATTACCTTCCAGAGTTCCTTTTTTGCTTCAGATTCTTCTGCGAACACAAAGTCTGATCCATTGTGTTTAGAAGCAATCTGCTGAACAATTTGAGTCTGCTCACGAGCATATTCCTCTAAAAGAGAAGGAAACAAAAATCAAAATGATAGGTGAATTAGAAGGAAACGAAAATAAAAGCGATTCTCTACTTAAAAAAGCAGTTGGAAAACACAAGAACTTTATGATGCAGCCTCACCTGTCCCTATAAATTCAAACATCAGAGTCGGAACTTCTCTCAAGTTTTTCCCATTTGCCATATTAAGAGCCCTGATTAGAACCTCGTCAAGGAGCTCCACTCTTGACACCTGATGGAGATAAAGTTACAGCTGAGAAGATTCTAATTAAAAGTTTGAAAAACATATCATTCAGAAGCAGAGGTCTAACCTGTATCCCAGACATCATAGTGGCAATGGCCACGTCTGCAGCATCCTTAACCGTAGGAAAATTGCACACTGCCACCTGAAAAAATATCACAAACATGTGTTGACACCGAATCATAAGGAAACTTGCTAACCATAGTGAAAAAGTGTTCTGTTAGACAAGTCATGGTGGAAAATTGTGATGGTATTTTACGCTTCTGGATGTTCAAATGATGCAAAAATTTGAATCAGTTTCGACCTTCAAGGAAGAATGATCACATAGAAAAGGAGTATGATCATCTTTCTGCTTGGCAGAAAACCGGAATTATAATTGAAACATAAAGAAGGGAAACCTACTATAAGGAAGAAGTCAATATACCACTGAATGCTGTGGGATCTTCTGAAGCCGGAGAGTAACCTCAGTTATGACTCCCAAAGTCCCCTCACTCCCAATCATCAAGCGGGTCAAATCGTATCTGAGACACCATCCCGATAAGTATCAACCATTAACTCAAAGGCTTAAATCTAGCTTCTTTGATGAAAAATCATTACAAGACACAATAAATTTAAAAAGATATAAGATACGAGAAAAACAAGAATTCTGCAAGAGGCATTTGGCCACTGGAAACAACACCAAAATGATATGCCAACAGAAAAATGTGAAGATTAGAAAGAATATAAGCTTAGGGATGCAAAATATTGGCAGCCTAGAAATACTTTTTTTCAGCCAAATGAACTCAGCCTTTAATGTTTGGTGACAACGGGGAAAAAAAACAAATTCAGAAGATGTTCTTTAAAAATGATAAATCAGAAATACTTTGTTATTAGCAAAGAACATCACATAAGCCAATCGACCTGAAAATATCTTCTAATTGTTCTAGCTGGTGACATGATAGTAATTATCAAACGACTGTAAGCATACTATTCAAACTTTCTTTATTGTTTGTCTTTTCCGAGAAAAACTCAAACAAAGAAAAAAAAATACAATTGAAGATTGAAGACAAACCCTGCAGCACTCTTTCTAGCACGTGAAGCTGTCTTCACAACATCTCCATTAGGAAGAACCACCTGAGATGAACGTAGCATAAATAAAATAGAACTGTGTGATAACTTGATAAGGCATGATACAAGTGGAAGAAACAACAAACCTTAAGGCTTATAACATTGTCACGCATAGTTCCATACCTACAAGCTAGAAGCAGAGTTATCAAAGACAACCGGATTAAAGCAGCTCCACTATTATCAGAAGACGTGCGAGCAATCAAGCGAAATTAACAACATTGCAGAAAACTACCTTACAGCTAAAGATCCAGAGCAACGTGTAGCACACATGCCTCCTATGGTTGCACCGGGCCCTGCACCAGATATTAAATTGTTGAATGGAACCAAGAAAAGTGAAAACTGAAGCTTGTTCTATTGCAACAGTCAATTGAGCACAACGCAAAAGACATTGAATGATGCAGCAACCCCAAGAAGAAAAATTTCCTTAAACTAATTGACTTCACATTATATAATATCAGTTCATCTAAAATTATGTTCCAAATATTAAGCCACAGACATAACTATGATCTGAGAGATACAGTACTATCTGAATGTTGTCTAACCTGGATCAAGAGGAAAGAATAGACCATATTGTTCTAGATGTTCATTAAGCTCCAGCCAACCAATTCCAGGCTCAACTACAACGTCCATATCCTCCACATGCAATGCTTTCACCCTCTACAGTTTGAAAGAAGACTCAAAATAAGCATGAATAGCATAATTTCAATAACATCTACATGCAAACTGCAAGTTAAAATGTAAGCAGACATGATTTTAATTGAAAATAAAGGACGCTGATGTCAGATAGAAACGATAAGAATACCTTCATAAATGACATGTCGATGCATACACCTCCTTTTGGAGCCAGGGTGTGACCCTCGATCGATGTCGCACCACCGTATGGTACAATTGGGACCTAAACAAAGAGTAAATGCTGCCTGAATTATTATTTTTTGATCAAAAGCAGGGAGTAGCTTCACTGAAGTCAACAAATCAGGGTAATAAAATTAAAAGGAGCCGGCAAGATACCACCAGGAAGCTATGTATCCCGAGTACTATAGCACCTTGGCCTAGACTACAATTGAAAAGATTGAAATCTTCTCTACAAGTCAAACTTACAAACCTTATATTCGTTGCAGGATTTAAGAATCTTGGAGACTTCTTCTTCGGACCTAAACAATATATGAGAAGAGGATGATAACCAATGCATTCTCAACAACTGGTTTCAATGTAGCTGGGAAAGAAACGATTGCGCCAGTTAGTAGTCTCACCTCGGGAAAACAACTACATCAGGAATGTTGACTGACTTGTGAAAACTGTTCTGTGGCTTCCCATGGAAGTACCTCTCATCGTAGTCCGTTGTCAAGTTATCCTTAAACACAACGAATGAAAAGAACATAAATTTTCAGATACATCAGAGAAAACGTTTAAAACACAGGAATAGACGAAACAAATTCAAAATTTGGAGCACCTCGAGGATTGTTTTGAGTTCAGCAATAAGCTCCTTAGGAACCTCCTTGTAATCCCCTTTAACAACATGTTCAGTGCTACCCTTTCCGCCAATAGTTATACCTCTGTAGGGAAACAGAGACGAGCAATCAAACTATTGTCTTACTTTTAAATTAAAAGGGAGAAAGAAAGAAAAAAAACAACGAACCCAGAATCTGAAGCCGATGATTCGCTGATAGAAGGATGTGACTGGTTCAGGAACGCGAAAGAGGTGGCGGAGGCGGCTATCGCCAGCGGGAGAAGAGACCTCGACCACCAATTCGGGAGCCTCCGGCGTCCCTTCTCCGTAGAAATCGCGGCCAAGTCAGCAGTTGTCTTCGGCGTCGAGTGGAGCTGACGAGAAGGCCGGAGAAAGGCGACAACTGTTTTAGAGGAGGAACGAGAGCGAGCGAGCCATGAAGAGAAGGCCATGGGTAGTGGATTTCACGGCGGTGGGAGATTGAGACAGTGGAGAGAGATGTAAAAAACTCGAGCGCACAATTTAATTATCGTTCATCTCTTTCGTCAACAACTCAGCATCCATTGAAACTCGTGCGCACAATTAAAACAACTCACCAAGCTGATAGAAAGGGATAGTTTTTTTTTATCTCTTAAAAATCCAATTCCCGCCGAAAACAAAATCTGGGATAAAATCTGAAAGAGAGGAGAGAGAGAGAGACGAGAGTAAAGTTGTAAAGATGGAGGAAGAGCTCAAGAGTTTGAGCAGGAGCTTGGGAGGATTCTGCAATCATCTTCAAAGCAGCTGCGATGCTTTCAATCACTCTCTCCAGCGCCGCCCTATCCCTCTCGGTCTGTTTCTCTCTTCCCCCCCCCCCCCCCCTTTTTCCTCCGATTTCGTCATGAAAACCCTAAATTCACCGACTTCTTCGTTTTCTGCCTCGGTTTTGCCAGATTCTGCTTCGTCTACTTTCATCAATAGCCTTAATCGTCGACTCTCCACCGCTGGTTCCGATTTGAATTTCCTTGATTCCATGTCTTTCGGTACTGTCTCCTTCGAGGAGCTCCTGGGTCACTGTAATCAGATTTACAAAAACAACCAAGACGGTCTTCTCCATCTCCAGGACCGCCTCTCTGACTTTGGGTATGTTCCAGGTACTCTTCTCTCCTTTTCTCGATTTGCTCCTAGGCTTATTGTATTTAGTAGAAATGGAATGTAGTGACTTCGTCGAAGCCTCTCTCTGATTTTATGCTTTTGGACCCAGAAACTGAGATTGATGATGAAGAGTCTGACTTTGGAGCATTTGGGCATGAGGATTCAAAGCAAGACGATGATGATTTGGAGCCTCATTCATTGCGACGTTCAATATTTAAAGGATTAGACGAGGACGATCTGTATCCTTTTTGAACCTTATTTAGAATTTTCTGGCAGTTTCTTATCGGTTCGGATGATTTTTGCATCATTAGCGTCGTGGAAAATCTTTAGATTGATGTTATCGACCAGACCCAAAAAAAAAAAGCAGCTTTAAGCGTGGATTTGTTACAGTTGACTGTTACTTACCTTAATGTTTCATAGTCTGGATGATTCACTGGACTTGAAGAACCTTGGGCTTTCAGATGCTTGTCTTGCAACTCTAGCTCAAAAAGGTAAGGCAGCAAGATTTTTCTCCACTGTTAGTAGAATACTATATATGGTTTGCTGTAATTTCGTAGGATGTAGCGGATGGTTTTCTTATTCGGATCATGTCCTTAATGTTTCTTATTGTTCCAACTGTTTCCAGTGAACGATAATGTGAAGGATCCTTGCACGTCTTTGGAAGATTCAGTGAAGTAGGTTTGATGCCTTGGAAATAAATAAATTCTTGTGCGTTTCCTCTTAGTCATATAAATGAGCACGTTTTCGTATAATTATAGGGGCAAACCATTTGTTACTAGTGGCGCTCTACCTGATCCGAAGGCGTCAATGCTAGAAGATGGGTATGCGGCACTAGATATGGATAGAACTTCAAGGCCTACGATAACATTGGGAAAAGACGAATATGAAAGTCTTCCTTCTTACATGAAGGCTCTAGCATCTTGGGAGGTACAGAGATCATCCAAATTATCCATTTTCTATCTTTGAGCAATGCAATTATGCAAAGTATCAGTTAACTGCCTCAATGAACTCTATGCTCAAAAGATTGAAGTCTATCGTAATGAAACGCTTATAGGTTCCCTTAGGACTTCCCTAGATATGTTTAACGCCTGCTTTGTTGATGTTTCCAGGATCTGCTCAGTGCGGTGCAGAAATTCAACTCGGTCCTCGGTGGCAAGAGGGAAACAAATGGGTCTTACTACTTCCGTTCAGATGAGATTCCGACTCTAGGCCTTGGTAGGTTCAAATCTTCCTCATTACATTTCCGCTTGTAGCATCACTAGGTTGATCATCTCAAATCACTATTCTTCAGATTCTACATGTAGAACTAGGATCAGGGGTATTATCTTCAACATTTTTTTATATTGGGATTTCAAAAAGAAAAAAAACACGTTGCATAGAAAATGATGATTGTTGTATCGCAGGCCATAAGGAAAAAGCGTACACGGTGCTGCTGACGCGAATGAAGAGATTTGTGGTTGAGACAAGTGACGGTGTCGTATCTTACAGGGTTGCATAGAGAGCTGAGAGTATTTAATATATAAAGTTTAATGTTATATAATGGAAGGTCCTTGTTTTGACAATCTACATCTCTAATGTATTTTTCCATTTTTACTTCAAAATATATTATGTTTTACTTATTTTTTACTCAAAAATATATTATGTTTTGCTACAACTCTATTTTTAATTTTAAAAAGAAATATTCTAAATAGATTATGATTTTATTTTATTATTAATACATTTTATTTCTAAATTTATAAATAAGCCCAACTTATTTTATTGTTTATAATTTCTTTTAAAAATTAAATATTTATTAAATAATGAAGATTACATATCATATTATTATTTGAGAAGTAGGGTAATCACCATGACTATTGAGTTCGAGTGCTAAAGAAGAATCCGCCCACTTGGTTCTCTTCAGGCAGAGATTCAACAGTCATGGCGATAATGTACCACATGCCCCTTTGGTTCAAAGATTTCGTCCAGAAGAAGGCTTTAATGATAAAGGGGTGATCAGGTTTAAGGCTGTTTATTATGAAAAACGGATGTAAAAGATTTGCTCAGGCTGAAAATTTAATCTTTATTATGTCCTCGTGTTTGAGTAGGTTCGATTTTGAAAAGTATCAATCACTACTACATTATTCAAATTGAAGCGTGAGATCAAACATAAACATACTGTACCGTGGGAGAGAATCTAGTGCCTATATAATCCAAATAGACGTGTTCACCTAGATATCACGCGTTTTTGTTATGTTGTGCATGACAGGGATCCTCCCATGGTTTTCTGTGTCACCACTCAAAGTACAAATATTGATGTACCGTTTTTTTTTTCCAATTACTAACAGCTTCTATCTCTTATCATTATTTTTCTCTAACAGGGATCCTCCCATAAATGATGCATTGATAATCGTCTTCTGCATTAAGGTTCTTGAGAATCGTCTTCTGCATTGATGTGTGATGCTATATGGAGAAACACCATTGGATTTTGTGAAGTTGAAACACGAATAACACAAAGAAGCTATTCGTTGATAGAGACTTTCTGTTTACATGATATTGTAGGTCAAGATATGGGAAGAAAGAAGAGTATTTGGATCCCGTTCGAAGAATCTTAGAGACGTGATGCTTGGTGAAGATGTCCCTCTGCCACTTGAGGTCAGCAAAAAGCGGCCTCGCGGATCCAAATCCTCAAAACGGGATTCAAAATCGTCCAGAACGGTAAATCACGACTCACCGAGATTTCCTTCTCTGCTTTACTTTATTGATATCAGTCAAATTTCCTTACAGTTTGTTTGGGGTTTTGTTTTCTTTTCTTTTGTAACCAGAAACTATCATCAAGTGGAGGTGTGGCTGAGAAGATAGCATCAGCATATCATTTGGTTGTTGCAGAAAACTCAAATGAAGAAGCTGAGATGAATAAATGCAAGTCTGCAGTTAAACGAATCAGGAGGATGGAGAAAGACGTTGAAGAAACCTGCTCCTCTGGTAACACACAGCTGCTTTTAATAATAATGATTTTGCGCACTTTGCCGAGTTAAACTATTTTGTGAACTATCTTTCATTCTTTTGCGTGCTTATGTCAGGAATCCGAACTGGATAATCTTAAAGCCCAGATTCAGGTATGTGTTTGATTTGCCACTGCTTCTTTCACGCCGCTTGTGACCTACCTGAGCTTTTTAAGCTCATGAACTGTTTTTGTATATGTTCAGGTGGCACACGAACAAACAGAGGAAGCTCAAAACATGCAGAAACGGCTCAACGATGAGGATTATGCATCAAAACCAACAACCACGACCGAGACTAGCGACAACAACGCAAATTCTGGTCAAGCATCAAAAATGACGCCTGCTTCTATCGCTGCGATGCTCACAGCATCTACCTCATCACATATGATTATGCAATCTGTTCTGTCTTCATTCGCTGCTGAAGCAACAAAGACTTCTGGCCTATCCAAATCAGATAGCGCAGTTCCTGTTTCAGACACTAATGCTTTTGTCCCTTCTTACAACAACTCCCAGAGCCAGACACTCACCACACAGGGTCAGTATCACGTTATCCCTAATCCAGCAGCAGCATCGCAACCACAGTTCCTAAAACCGCCGGTAATGAACAATCCTTATGGCTTTGGTAAAATGTGGTGAAATGTGGTTTTAATGATACATTATAGGGTCAAATCAAAGCGGAAATATTGTTCCTCTGGTTGTAGAAACGTTTACGTTATCCCTTACAAATATTTTGTACCACAAGCTTTTACGACATAATGTAATATTATCATTCTCTACCTCTATTACAAGGCTGAACAATCTTCTACATTCGTTTTGATAATAAACAGTCTTTAAACACGAACCTGATCATCCCTTTTTCATCAGAGCCCTCTACTGGAGAAAATCCTGCGTTTTATATAAGTAACCATTACAAACAATTGAAGAACCAAGACCAAGAATGGTCTCAAATCTCAAAGTGAATACTAAAACCAAACCTGAGTGTATCGGTTAGAGAATGGATAGCAGCTTTGGTTGCAGTGTATCGGTTAGTATAATTTTGTTATATATTTATTAAAAGAAAATAGTTCAATCATAGAATGGCCTATATGTTAGTATATTATATAAGCCAGAAACCAACAAATGTGTAGAACGTTATGAATTCTTTTTATCTGTAAATAAGCTTAGTCTATATGTACATTATATGTGATAAATCGGATCATTCTCTCATAATAAAAATACATTTAAATCGGACTTATACCATTGTTAATCACATGCATTTAATTACAAACTAAAACAATAATTAAAATAAATTTATATGTCATTTTTTTGTACTTTGACGACATACGAAACATGCATCTTCCCTCGCCGCGTATGGGCTTTCGCTTCAAAAATAGATACGTTTGTGTTATTTTGTTTCTTTAATTTCATGGGAAATTAAACAATATTTAAACAAAAAATCAATAAATAAAAAACAATATTTATCGGCATGGCACATTGGCGTTACAACGGATTCTTTTTCTACCGATTAGCAAAAGAAAAAGAAAGCAACGGATTCTTTTCTTGTTTTCAAACCAGAAGAAAGAGGTATAAATCCCGAAATCTGCTCTCTCTTCAGATCCCATAATCACAAAGACTCATCAATCGATCTCTCTAGAAACAAATTTTGCAACTTTCTGGTTTATTTTCAGCAATCACCTGAATTTTCCGACCCAGATCTCTGGTTTTCGTTTTCCGATCATAAGCCAACCTAAATCTTCCAACTCGTAAGTACCCAGATCTCTGATTTTCGTTTTACGATCATAAACTTTCGATTCAATTTCTTTTGGTTTCTCCTTTTCAAAATCGAATCTATTTGATGGTTCTTCTGTTAAATATTTTCGCTTTTTGTGTTGCCAATCAAATAGTTGTCGTGCCTCGACTGTCGAGAAATGTTTGGGAAAGATAGTGTTTATGGACATAACCAGTGCATTACCGAAACTGTAAGTAATTTTACCATGTCTATCAAATCTTCTATAGAACAAATTGGCTTAGATTTTAGGTTCTTGGCTATTTGTCTTGGAGTAAGAGAGTGAATAATTGTTTCTGTGTTCTTGAATGCTTTTGTTTTTCTCTGTAATTAGGAGAAATATGGTCCAATAGGTCAGTCAAAGCCATCCAATGGCACACCAGCAAAGCCACAGAACAACTCGAAGCAGCAGCCAGATTTTGATATAAATGCTGGCTTATCAAATCGGTATCCATGGTTTTGTAGGTATTCACTTCTCTCGACCTTCCTTCAGTTTCCTGCTTTTGTGCATTTTAATGTCTCGAGGTTCGTCTACGTTTTATTAAGAAGATGATAGAGCCAATGTTAGGTTTTTCTTTCCAATGTATGCATCCTTGCCTGCTTGTGTTGTCTTGTGGTGAGAGTTTTAATGAAGACATGGTTTTGAGTATTTGTCTTATTCGTTTGCAGTTTGTGTAACACAAAGGCTACAAGCCAGCAGACTCTGCTTGCCCATGCCGATGGGAAGGAACACCGAGGAAAAGCAAAAGCCTTTCATGCTAAACAGCAATCCACGGTGGATGCAACCGAGAAGGTCTCTAATGGTGATTCCGAAGAGAAGAAAGTGGATTGACCTGTCTGCTCGGTTGCTGCTGGGAAGAAGAGAAAGCTAGAGACTTTGGACGAAACGAGTATCGGAGATGTACTTCAAGGCGAGGAATCAAATGGAGGTGAAGTAAAGAAAGCGAAGAAGCAGGACGATGAGAAGAAAATCAATTGGAAGAAGTTGATCACCTCGGCTTTGAAATCTGTACGTATATTAATCAACTTGCAATATCCAGTATTTTCAAATGCAATGTCGACTACACAATGTAACACATCTATGAATTCGTATTTGCCACAGAGCGAAGATAAAACTTTGAATTTGAAATGCACTGGTTTTTGAGGGTTTTAAAGTTATTCTCTCTTGTTTGTTTCAGTACTGCTATTCTCGAGAGAAACAAGTCTCCAAACCGACTTGTTGTCGACGAAGCCTTTAACGATGGCAGCTCTGTCGTCTCTCTCCATCCCGCCACCATGGAAAAGCTGGCGATACGATTCTCATCAAGGTTTGATTTTAAATTCTGTATTGCTGGAAATCAAAAATCTCTGGTTTCTTGATTGACGATTGTTACCAAAGTGGGGTTTTTTTTCTTGCTTGGCCGATGGATCTCTTACTTGTTATGATCTTGTAAACGCATTGAGCCAATGGTCAAAATCTAAACTTGTACTGTCTTTACAGGGTATGAAAAGGAAGGACACTGTGTGATGAATCATGCGAGGAACCTAAGATCAGAATGAACAAGGTCGTTGGGTCTAACTTGAGGGTTAGACTGGGAGATGTTATTTCTCTTCACCAGTGCCCAGATGTCAAGTATGGAAGCGTGTGCACATCTTGCCAGTTGATGATACTTACCTGAAGCGTAGGCTTGCTTGTTCTCTTTCATATCATAGTCAAGCTGTCTTTTTGAGTTCATGTTTGCTTTAAGATCATGTTTTGTTAGTTTGGATTGCTAACAAAAATTATACTTTTTCAACAGCCTTCTTACGAAACCGGGGCGTTTTTCTTCTGTATTAATAGACCGGAGATCATGTCGAAACTGGCCGGTGAGAGCAACCTCAGGAAAGCATTCAAGGAGACTGAGAAGATGGATCATTCGATGAACACACATGGATATGTTGGTGCCGATCTTGCAGCTCTATGCACTGAAGCTGCCCTTCAATGTATCAGAGAGAAGATGGATGTGATGTGATTGACTTGGAAGATGACGAAATTGACGCCGAGATCCTCAACTCCATGACGGTGTCTAACGAACACTTCCACGACACTCTAGGAAACAGCAACCCATCTGCACTTCGTGAAACCGTAATCACTTTATGCGATCATAAGTAAAACTCTAAATCATTTAAATTCTTTTAAAACTCTATATATATTAATTAATGTCAAGTTGATATGAAACAAGTATCATTTGGTTTTGGTCATTTTGGATTGCTATGTTTTTTTAATGCAAACTTTGAATTTCATTAATCTTAATCTACCAATTTACATCAAAAGAAGAAAATTATTTATCATGATTGATAAATGCAACAAAACAACAAAGCATAATTATAAGTTTTTATCGGATAATATAAAAGATATTAAAAAATAAGATATAAATAATATTGTCACGCATATAACATTGTCATGCATAGTTCTATATCTACATCAAAAAAAGAGAATAATTTATCATAATTGATATATGCAAACAAAACAACAAAGCATATTTATAAGTTTTTATCAGATAATATAAAAGATATTAAAAAATAAGATATAAATAATATATTTTTGTCACAAAAAAAATAATATACTCATAACTTTTATATTCTTTTAAATATATTAAGCTTGGTTTTGAATCATTATAAAAATTGTTTTTTTTTATAAATAAACTAATATTATACTTTTAAAAAAATTTAATCAAATCCCGCACAAAAATGCAGAAAAACACCTAGTTATTATAAAAATCATATGAAATTTTCTCTTTCTAGAACAATTTTTGAATAATCTTGGTGGAGTAAAGTATAACTCCAAAATAGAAAAAGTGAGAGTAAAAGTTTTTCTTATAATTTTGATCACCCGTCTCTGTGGAAGTCGACATTTTCAACGGTTATAGCTATATCGAACCATCGGAGATAAAATCCGACAAAGCAAACAATGATAATTGGAAATGGAACAAAGAACTATACCATCGCCAGCCAAAAAAATCATCTTAAAAACCTCAAATCTCTAAAATTACAAATGTTTCGGTATTCTATAAACTCTGAAAGCCAACCGCGCTCCCGAATCCAAGCGACGGGCTTCCGTTTTTTTTTTTCTTGGAAATAAAAAATTGCATGTGCCAATAAGTCTCACACATAGCATATATTAACACAAAGTATTGAAGCACGATCGAAATGAAGAAAAAAAAAACACACTATCATCAATGCGCAACCCAAAACCCTATCACAGACCAAGTTCTCTCTACAACATCCTACTACGGTCGGTCATCACACCACCTCACACACTCGATGCTCTCTTTCCCTTCCTTTATTCGATGCCTCGCTCCGACGTTGCTGCCACAATGTCTTGACGACAATCGTGTTTCTCTTGCTTTTTTTGTGTGTGGCTAATTGTATATTTTCACGGGCTTTTCATAAGTGTGCCGGTTCTACAAACACAGCGCAAAAAGATTAACAAAAGAGGGACTTTGGTTTTACACCTTCGTAGGCAAAAGATTCTAGTTATCGAGAAAATGTTACCTGGTTTGCAGCATAAGCCCTTTTTGGGGTGGTATCAGTGTGCTCCAACCCGAGGTACTGCTCAAAAGCGCCGTATACATCTCTTCTCTGTTTACCATTTTCGATCCCAAGAAAAATCAAAAGTTATATCTCAGTTACTATTACCACGAGCCTTTCTAGAAAAAAACATAAGGGAAGAGGTCAACACCTGAAAGCGGTTATATACAACATCCGAGTCCTGCAAGTACTCCGGACGCCCCATCGACATAAACGCAAACTTCCACTACATCATGAAATTTTAGTATTAGAATTGTACCAGTCCCGCCAAAAAATTACAGCTATCTGCTAACACTTTCGATTCTTTATTTAGCTTTTGATCATTACTCAGTCGTGCATACCTTGGCAAAGTCCTCATCGGATACATGAAGCTTCTTCTGGATACGGTTCTTGATTTCTTCAAGTGTTTCACCTTCATGGATTACCAAGAAGAAGGGCTCCCCGAAGTTCTGCACTTGCTGCGGAACAAACAAACATGGAAACTTATAAGACACTTTAGACGCTACAACTCGTGCAACAGTTGAATAATTAGCAAAAGCTTGATCGCTGATAATCACCTGGTTTTGTCCAGTCTCCTTAGCAAAGTGGTACACAAGAATTAAGCGATCATTTGGACCAATATTCTTCTCTTCTTCCGGTATCTGAGATTCAGGAAGACATGGGTCAGTATATCCACGGAATGACTATCATATCTCCTGAGTTTAATATCTGACTTTAAAAACCAAATTGCACTCTGAGATCACAGGGAAACAAAGCTACCACTAAACTAAGAAAATCATAAATAATTAATGAACAGCGAGACTACCAAGACTTCGGAAATACCATAATGCTTTGAAGATAAAACTACAGTAAATAGAAGACGCAGCCTAGTAATATACCTCCTCAGCTCGTAAAGTCCAGTACTGGTCATTTATGTTCTCAATTCTTTCAGTTGATGGGAAAATCTGCAAAATGGTTGCAAGAATTTCATCAAGAGATATAGTTGAGAAGCCACTGGCTACAATGTAAAAGATAAGAAGCCGCTTGTCACCTTGTAGATCTTGTGGTAAAACACCTCAAGTAATCTCAGTTCTGCATCTGGATGCGAAAGCTCCACCTTTGTCTTAAGTTCATTAATAACATCTCCGACTGTGCTTTGTTTAGGTAATCTGATATTGTGGATTACCACCTGTACAGTAATGGTTAAAATGCTTGTAAAATAATCCAGTATACAAAAAGGAACGAAAAAAAAGACTATGAACCACAAATAAAGTACACATACTTCTTCCTTCGTGGCATGATGAAAAGCAACTTTTAGGGTTTTAAGACCCTGCAACTCTGGGAGAGGAATGTCCAGAACTTCATAATACAAAATGTCAGACGTCTGAAAAAAGAGAAAGAAATCAATCCAATAAGCAAACATGCATTCCATAGTAAGAAGAAACAATAATGTTCACCGAACTTCATGTCAATTACCTGATTGTAGTGAACTAACATATCTGACAAATGGTCTACTCCACGGTATTTGATAGGCTGAGGCTTGGGTTGCTGGGAATAGCAATTATGTGATGTAAGCCTAAGTTTGGATGGATCGTCAAGACCAAGCTTCTGGGCCACTCTTTCCACGACATCGTCATAAGTGTGCAACTTTGACCTAAGAGATTAAAAAGATCATGATTTCCACACGAAAATCAGCCGAAACAAATTCGTCCAGAGAGATACTTACAACTCCAGAACAAATTCATCTTCTTTAGGTTTTTCCAGGGCACGAAACCGGACCAGCTACAAAATCACAAACCCGAAAAAGTAAATCGCCAACCCAATCATTCCAGCTGGAAACAAATTTACATAACATTCGCAAATTTGCTATGAAGACACGAATGCTCAGAATAAGGAATACTAGCATACTAGCACAATAGAAAGAATTAGTGGGATATCAGCATAAATTTTGCTCTGATTCGATTGAATATTAGGAATTTGTGGTACAAATAGTAAATGACAAATAAAATTTAGAGCTGCTGCCCTACACCCCTCTACCAGACCAGCCTAAATCTTTGATCCCTTATTTGCCACTAGAAGGAAAGCTTATCATTTGAGAGCAAAACTTAGCCTTACTCTACCAAGCTTGACTTTAGAAACCAGTGCTTAGTGGAACTGTACCTGTCGATTCTGGACATATTCAAGAAACGAAGGCACAGCTGGGTAGCGGCACTCAATCTCCTTGTTAACAACAGGTTTCTGAAAGCAAATGATATCTCCATCTTCAATCTGAAAGCAAGAAACACGATGTCACAAAAGAGACACGAGACTAAAAGATTTCAGTAGATACGAGTGAAGCATTACTTGGCACAATCTGAATGAAATTTTTTTATCCAGGTGTTCGCACATAACACAAGGCTCAAACTTGATTTCCTGTGAATAATTTCCCAAAACCGTTAAATAACCATAAGCAAGATACAAAACAGGTTAAGAACAACCAGCAGCAGCAAACCTCAAAAAGTTCTATTTCTTCATCAGGAGCAAAGCCAGCCATTTCGTTCAGTTTTCCAGTTATATCCATAGGCTTACTGGAACTTTTCACCATCAGTCTGCCAACATACCTGGTGGCACAAGAAAAAAAATTATTACAAAAGAAAAATGAGATATAGTGGATAAAACAAAATAAAACGAAAAAGACGAAGGAAAACGAAAAACGGTTAGAACTTTCTGATCGCAAAGGGAAGAAAGACCTCGTTTTGTAGAATAATTGTCACTAAAGTTGTGGTAGACCATTTTACATAGAAGTCAGACCGAATAAAGAGAATGTGGAAAACAATATTACCTTAACTCTGGCTTCTCCGGGTCGTAAAGCTTAAAGAAAAGAAGAATATCTTCTTTTGATTTTTCAGGAGGAGGAATAGGACGTTCATCCTGAATTATGCAAGAATTAGTGAGAAAATATTAGCTCTCTTCCCTGTTGATCAATTAGCTTCTGTTTTTCTTTAAATGATAATGGCTTCAACAATTTAACTCAACCAGGAGTTCATACCAGCAGCTCTACTTCCAAAAACAGCTTAAGTTCTGCAGTGTTTGCCTTGTTAGATGCTTCTCTTATTTGTCCAACCTACAAAACCAATTTTCCAGATTAAACACATTCGTAACTAATGGACTTAAAAGCAAGGGACTCGTACATAATACATACATAATAAAAATAAAGTTTCCCGCATACAACAAGGAAAATTCATTTCAAAGCAAACAAAGAAACTTGGGCTAGGCTGAAATACTAACGAAATACAAGGGTTCCATACAACAGGATTAGAAACACTTGAAACCGAAAAAATAAAACTACATGCATAAATAGCATTGAAAAGGATAAATTACCGGTTGTAATTCCTCCTGAGGCGTAAGGGGGCGATTGGGACGATAAGTATGGTTTTGTCGCTTTGCCCATATCCAGAACCTCTGTAACTGAACAGGTACACCAAATTCTTTGGCCACTTCTTCCTATATAAGGCATAAGATTGGTGGTCAAAGATTGCAAATGTTTAAATTACAAGTACATAAAGAACTTTTTAGCTAGCAGCAATTTGAAGATTCTCAGGAAATGCAAATCAAATACCTTAAATTGTTGAAATGGTGTCTGTTTCTGGATCCGGAAGCTACGAACTTTGTCATGGTCAACAAGGTCAAAATATATATCCTTCCCAATTTGTTCCTTAAGGTCTTGATCTCTGGCAACCTTTCATTTTAACAAAGATTTTATTACTAACAACAGTGTCAAAACGACACCCAAAAAACAGCTAAAATATATAATCAGGCCCAATTAACTAGGAAAAACAAACCTTAATTATTGTAAAAAGGTGAGCTTGTGCCTTGTATCTTCTTTTATCTTCCTTTTCTTCTTGTTCTTTCTTCAGCCTCACCTGTCAAATTGTAATGCACTGATCAGGTTAAACCAAGACGTATATAACTGGTAAAATGCCTGAAAATAATTTACCCTCAAATGTTCAGCAATGTCTTTCTCATCAACGTTGCAGATTATTTTATCTTTGTCACTCTCCCGGATATATACAAGCATGTACGCATTCGAGTACTTTGTGAATTTAAAAGGAGGGTTATTGAAACCAGGATTGGTCTGTGGTAGCTGAAAAGACACCAGAACAAAAATATCTCAGGCAAGAGGAATTAGGCTTCGGGTGCAAAACATAGAAAATTGGCAAAAAAATGCAAACCTCTTCTTCACCACCATATTGCTCCTCCAATGCTCTTTTCAAATCTTCCTTGGTTACTCGTTCATCATCAAATTTATACCTGAAAGTACCAGCACATATTAGTTTAAGAGACGGAAAAACAAAAAAAATGCACAGACGAAATATGTTACAGTAGCATCTGAAACCAGCATCAAAAGAGATGTGTGACGCTGGTCTTGCACCAAGTGACATGCAAGAATATCAATACACCATAGGCAGTTCCAGTTTTTCAAATTAATTGTTGATAATCATATAATAACAGAGTTCTCCAAGTACTAAACCTATGCAACACTGATAATACTACGCTCACGTTTATAGCTGAAAAGAAAAAGAACAATCTCAAAGTATAACAATCTAGTTTCTATATTATCCAAACATTTTGCTTATTCAACCTATTTTTTATAGTAATCAGATATATTTTTCAGGTGACAGCATTAGGAACAGGTAAAGAAATGTACTATTGGATAGCAAAACAAAAGTCAACTACATATCAAGTATCATAAAACATGATTTGGACAAATTGCTCAAAAGTGTGACCTTCTGACTACTAGCAGTCTAAGATTACCAAATTACGTTTCAGATTCAACTACTTTGTAGCTCTCAAAATAGATCACAAAACACCATGTACGTTATTTCAATAATAGAAAGATGCATACCACTGATCCGAGAGTGTAGGCCTTATAAATGCGTAATAGTGCCCACCATGTACTCCTCCACTATGAACTAAGACACTGCAGGCAAATAAGAGCTAGTATGTCAAGCACGAAACTGTAACAGCAACCAAATGAAATAAAACATTTTTCTTATGTATTGTACTCTCATAAAATGTCAAGTAACTGTGTATGTACAGGTTAAATATAAGCGACAGGATATAATAAGTACCTGTGAAGTGTGTACAGGTTGCGGACACTCCTGTCAGCATCAGGGGATAAATACTTTCCATTCTCTCTGTCGAGATCCAGTTGAAGAGGAAATTCATACCGATCATTTATCTATCAATAAAAGCTAAATCAGCATTCACAATTCAGGGTACCACCAAACGAGAAAGTATAAGTCATGGTCACAACAAACCACATGTTCACTTCCTAGGCACATACGACTTCAAATACTAACCTTCACCATGGTGTCCCTCATAAAGTCATATTCAAATCTCTTGAGCTGGAGCTGAAGGACCGGTGGAAAGTCGATGAAAAGAACACCTTTTTTGGCATCCTGAAACAATAGCCATGTGGTTCCTTCAGAATAAGACTACATGAGGGACTACATTAGCAATAATAACAATCAGATCGGTGGTAATTAACTTGGCTTCGACGATGGTACTAGTTAAGAAAAATTTACAGATCTCGTGGTTAAAGTTGCTCGGTAAAACTCTCACGTTATGAATTATCCACACCTTTTAATATGTGGAATATTAAAGGCAAGACAAGAGTTGCTAGGTACCCAAATAGGCCTGTTGTGAATGACTCGACCAGAAAGTAAAATGGTATAGAAAGAGTGAGGACAACCAACCTGTAAACCTTGTCCTTCGGCATGATATTTGTTGTCTCCTTCAAGGCGTTCAACTTCAACATATTTGTCAAAAGAAGCATAAACATCCTTGCAACCTTTAACATCCAGCTGAAGGTCTGCCATAAGATAAAACCATGACAAAGTGGCAAAAAATAAAGTTGGCGTGATAGAATAAGACAGTAGAGTGCAATTGGATAATACTATACCATAAAATGATTCTTTCCGTGTAGATTTGTAATCTACATTTATGCACTCAATATAATTCATATGGTGACCCTCAAATAGCTGTTGTATTGTTCCCTCCACAACAGTGCCCTATATAGAAAAGAAAAAAAAGAGCTCAAAACAATAAACACCAACCGAGAAGGAAATTATGGGGTAACAGAAAAAACAAAATATTACCTTCATTTTGTCCTCAAGTTTTTCGCAGAGAACTCGATTGAGTTCTTGAACATCATGTTGCATGAAAGAATCATATGTATCCCAGCCAAACGACTTTGTCAGCTCTTTTGTCGCAACACTAGTGTCATTATATTGTAGCTTGTAAAACAAACTTTGGAGAGCCAAAGGTATGCTTGCTGTGGGCGCATCGTTCTCAGTTGTCGGCATGTGGTATACAGCCTACAAGCAAGTTTAAAATTCAGTGCGAACCCATATGATTTTAAAAACTGATGCGAAAAAACAAGAATATATAACAAACCTTTCGGAAGTAAGGTATGTGGTATAGTGTCTGTAGGAGAGAATTCATGTAACAAGTTGCACCTTGGTTCTTGAGACCAACAAAACCAGTCTCTTTCTTGGAGTCGTATGACCAGTAATCAAGAACCTTACGGACAGCGACTTCAGCTTCAACGAAAACAGTATCATTCACTAAGTATCCTCTACTAGGATCATAGAGTTCGCTGAGAGGCATGAATGATGTAAATCCCCAATCGCTTTCTCTTGCATTGAATTGATGTTGCGTCTCTGCGCCACAAATAGGAATCATAATGTCAGTGAAAATTGTATCAGCAAAGGTCACTTACAGCTACATTGTGAGAATACCAAGTTCGCCCGAAACCAGGTTAATATTTTAGTCTGATAGAAAAGTAGAAAAGGGTGCATGGCGGGAATATTTAACTTTTCACTCGTGATTAATTGATTATATTGAAAAATATGTACAAAGAAGCGATCCACTTCTTCTAGACAGCATTCAAACTTTCGCAAAATCATAATTTTCCTGTACATAGGTATCATATGCTCATGCATGCACTCAGATTCAGAATCCAGGGTTTATATATGCATCATTAATAAATTACAGGTACCTTTTCTAATGGTATATCTGGTGTGGATCTGATTGACCACAGCCAGACTGAACTGAGCATATCTGCTCCAACCGTACGGCAAACTCGCAGCATCAGAAACATCCAAGTACATGGACAAATGGTCGACATTGTTCCCTTTCGGGAAAATTAATATGCGCCTGCACAAGCAAATCCAAAAAGGTGTCATACCAATCAAAATCCACAAACAATGGCAACAAAAAATTACACTAAAACTACATAAACCCTATTACCATTTGTAGCCCCCAACGACAAATACATCGGAGTAATGCTTCCTGGTGTTTTGCCTAGAGAAGTTTGGGATAGTCCACGTAAATTTCAGAGTGGGAGGATCCTCCGCTGGCTGGTTCTCCACGGTACTCGCAGCAGTCTCAGGTTGGGTAACTACAAATGCATCAAATAGTTTAGTGGAATATAAACAACAGGAGAAAACCCTAAGCACTTAATCACTACACAAGCTCTACCCATCTGATCCATTCCATCCAATCAGAATCCCCAAAGATACGAGAAACTTTAGCAGCGGATCAAATTGAATTCAAACAACAAAAAGTCTTACCTTCCATGGGCTGAGTAGGGCCGTCGACCAAATCTGAATGCGGCACAAGCATCTCCTCATCCTCTTGCTGCTGCGAAACATGAACAGACAAACCATGAAGGAAAAATTAAGACTTTCTGACCCAAAAAAAAACCCTAATCTCGCCCTGAATGATCAGATACATAAAAAAAAAAAAAAAAAGAGAAAGCACAATCACTAAACTGATAACACCAAAAACAAAAATCGCAGCACGTGCACGATGATTCAACCGGTTCAAATTCAAATCAAATCCAGCAGAGAAACAAAAGTTCTAAGGGATCAGCTAAAGAAACAATCAGAAGCAGATTCAGGGAGGGGAATACAGAACGAGCCGCGAAGGGAACATCAAATTAACGAGAGACAGGGAAAGTGAAGAATCGGAAATTACATCAACCGGAGGCGGGGTCATCATAGTCATTGGCCGGAGAAGGATTGACGGTGGGGATCGAGAGACCGACGGAACAGAGAAAAATCAAAGAGAGGGGAAAAGGAGAAGGCAAAGTGACTAGGGAGAAATACAATCGCTCATTCTTACTCTTTCTCGGCTTCGATATGATATTTTCGAAGATTTAAGGGGGCTTTACTGTAATTTCAGACACTCCGTACTCAGATTTATATTTTCTCCGAGGTTGGGTCCTTTCTAACGAGACAGACCAATAAGAAAGCGACACGTAAAAGCCTTAGGACGCTGCGGCTGTCATACAAAACTCTCGACGTGGCCGCTTGGAAGATTATTAGATTTCACCTGACGTCGTGGGCCTTTTATTTTTGCTCTTTTTTCTTTTCTTCCTTTTTTTTTAACTTTTCTTTTGGGGTTCTATCATTTTAGCTCAAATTTTCCTAAAAAATTGTTTGACAATTTGTAATTATTTCTTTCAATTCAGTATGTTTTCCTGTCTTTGAAATAAATCAACTAAACAAATTGGGAAAAAGGGTTACGAAACACTAAAACACAAGATAGTAAAACGACTTCATGAAAATAGAAAAAAAAAAGTAGATCAACTGATTAAATACACAAAATTATATCAGTAGCAGAAGCTGCAGAACTAGTAGTGGTGTTTGTCAATTTTTACTATTTTTAGTCATGACAAGATTTCAAAAGTGTCCATCTTTTCTCTAAGTTGGGCCTTAAAAAACTGGGCTTTTTGAGAAAGCCTAACAAAATGGCAGTTTTACCCAAAAATCACAATATTCATGATCTTAGTAAGTCTTAACTAGTAAGAAGAATCCACACATTCCAAAAGAGCAAAAAGTTAAGTAGAAGATTGAGTTCGTGCATTATTTATACCATTAAAGAGTGACTTTGAGTGAATGAATATACCTTATAACTTTGAGTGAATGAATATATAAGAGTACTCTCTGTTACAGTTTATAACTTTCTTTGAGAAATAAAATATCTTTTGAAAAGACATGTTGTACGACAAGATTGGGAAGTAAGTTGTATTCGATTTGAGTTTGAAAGTGATTAATTAGTGTATAGGAGTGAAAGTTAAATTTGGTATGATGTTTTATTGTAAAAATGATAAAATAAAAAACTCATCTTTAGCTAAATATCTTCCAAATATGAAAAAGGGGCTCGTTATTATGAACTCTAGTCAGCTGAAATTTGAGAGCATTAACGAGGTTGCTTGTTAGGAATTGTTTAATCTCTTTCATAATTAAACTCAGTTTATGGGATTATCTGTTTATATGTTTCCCTATCTTCTCTACATATAACATCAAACTTGGAGCTAAGATTAGGTTAAACGTGCGTCATCATCGATCGACTTGATTTTTCCAAGTTATCTGCTTTTTTGTCTCATTTGTGAGATGACCGCCGAACAATATATTTACAAAAAAAAATTCTAATAAGGGAATTAAATCGATTTAAATGGACGAAATTGTTAGACTTACCGGATAAATAGACGTGGACAAGTCACCTCTCATTGCGTTCCTTTTACTTTCATCTTCATCCGACCAAACTTTCAACTTCAATACTATGTCTCATAATTTTTGATATTCAAGCGTTACACTTTGTCAAAAAAAATTGGCTTTTCTAGTCTTTAATTGCTGAATCACACGACAAGAGAACACTTTAGAGCCGAGGTTACACTTGTTCACTATGTTTTCATTAAATTAGAGGTCAAGTGATAATAATAAAACAAATTGATGTTATATGCATAGAGATTTAGATTTGAGTTCCTTGCAAACATTTGTTTAACTTAATTTGACCCTTCTAATAACTTAAAAGTTAACATAAATCTTGATGTCTAAGATCATACATTAATGATAAAACAGTTGTTTACACTTTATTCCTTTTCAGCTTCAGCTTTCTTGAAATCTTCCATGCGGGGTTAAAAAATCACACTCAAATGTCATGAGAACGAAGAAAGATAAATGTAACAACAGAAAGAAGTACTCAAAGCATTAAAAAAAAAAACTTAAAAGGGGTTAGAGAGAAGGAAAGCTGGTGACGACCTATGTCAATATTACTTTTCCATAAAGAGAGAGAGAAAAAAATAACAATAATTAACAAACAAAGAAAAAGAAAGGTGAACAAGACGCACTGAGGCTATAAGCTGCTTAAGCACAAAGGGAGAGAAAGAAAGAACCAAAAAAAGAGAAGAAAAGTAAAAGAAATAGAGAGAGAATGCAGAGATTAGCTCCATTAATGGAAGAACCAGTGGATCAAGAGGAACAAGAAGAAGAAAGAGGAGGAAGATCAACGAGATCGAAATCATGGAAGAAATGGATAAAGACACAATTACAGCTTATGGTCTTCCACAAAAAACCAGATATGAAGGTTCTTCTTAGTGTTCTTGGATGTCCTCTCTTCCCTGTCCCTCCTCTCTCAAAAATTTATCTGCAACAGGTACTTATACGTCATATATGTGTGTGATATTAATATTTTTTGGTGGGTAACTTTAAATTGGATTAGTTTATGGTTGTATTGTATAATCTTCTTTATGCATCTGAATGATCTTTCGTATTAATTAGTTCAAATGTTTTGGACATGCTTTCAAATTGGTGATAACTATTTACTTGACATTAAGTTTTCATCCATTACTTGACGACAGTTTACACCTTATAAATGGCTTTTGGTTATTTTTCAATGGAAATAATTCTCCTTTTTTCTTCCTATTCGAATATTTAAAAAGACGACATATGCATATGCAACGACTTTATATAGAAAGAAAATTTGCGGGTATTTGTTAACAATTTAGAAATAGTCTTCACATATTTTTTTCCGTTTTAATATTTGATTCCACAGAATAGAAAATATTCACAAGAATTTGGGTTATATTCGATTTTAGGTTTATAGTAGTCGTTGACCCCCAAGAGTTTATAGTAGTCCTATTATATTCTATATTTTCAAAGTTTTACTTATTTAGTTAAATTACTAAGAATGTATCTTGCTAGGTGAGATCCTATGAAAAGCTACCTATATTATCTATTATAGCTTCCACCCTTGAATTTTTAAACGAAATCATGATAGATGTGAGTTTTGCCAAAATATATGGACAATAGGCTCAACTACTTTAGTGTATATAAGCGAGCCAAAAATATACATTGCAAAATAAAAATAAATCAGTAAAAAAGAATAAGAATAGTCAATGCAAGAGAAAAAGTCTATCACGAGATCCATACATAATTCCGGGAGACATTAAACTATTCTTTTATAATGACCGTCTGGTTTTTTCAGATCTGAATTATATTATATTTTTTCTTATTTTATTTCAGTAAGAAAACATGATTTGTTACATTTGTACTAGGAGTTGACGGAAAAAGAAATCTAAATGGTATTGTGATATTCAAACTTATGAACCCCAAATTTAAAATAAATGTACATATCATAGTTTCAAATGTTTTTTGACAGACAAAATGAAAGGTTCAGATCCATGCATATATATATATATATGTGCATGTAAACCATACTAACACATAAGTATTATGATCATTAAAGGCATCATCATCAGCACAATACATAATACAACATTTCGCCGCAGCAACGGGATGCAAGAAGCTCGCAGGTGGAATTAAAAACACTTTTGTCACCGGAAAAATTACAATGACTATGGTGAATGACCTTACTGGCTCAGCCGCGGTTGGTAGTGCCTCGTCTGTGGCTCATAAGGGATGCTTCGTCATGTGGCAAATGCTACCGGAAAAATGGCTCATCGAGCTGGTTGGTGGCGGCCATAAGATTTCAGCCGGAAGTGATGGAGAAATTGCTTGGCGCTATACACCGTGGCTCGGTGATCACGCTGCTAAAGGGGCTATACGGCCTTTGCGACGTGCTCTTCAAGTAAGTATCTATGTTTTTTGTTATTTTCTGTTTGTATATGAATCATTTTTATTTATTTAGTCTAGAAAGAAACTAGGCAAATTATTTCTATGGAGACCTAATTACATATTTTGATAGAAAAAAATAAGAGAAATCAATCAGTTTTGTAAAAAAATCATTATCTACGCATACACTGTTTGATTATACACAAAATCTTTGAAGAAAAACTTGTAACGATATAGTTTTCCAGGATTTGAAGTAGGTGTACGTAAAGACACATCACACATAATAATTGTATATTGATTAAATTGCTTTAGGCTATAAAGAGATGATGTTGGATCTGACATTCTACTTTGGGGGATGCCTTTCTATAGCTTTCTATTGACATATCTTCTTCTTCTTTTTTTGCCTTAATCACGTGCTACGAATTGACTTTATCATGCGCTTATAAAAATGGATTAAAAGGTTGGGGCTTGGAACAGAGATTCAAAGTTAATGATATAGTTAATCACAACTTCATATAATTATTAGATCTTAGGGATAAAAACATTATGTGTTCGTGGTCCTCTTTTGTAGTACATGCATCAGTGTTAACAATAATACTTTACATCGTAATAAAAAAAAACTACACCTCTCTGTCGGTTTTAAATAATTATATTTACACTAAAATAATGAAGGTTTATATATGCTTGCTCTTATTCATGTAATGTCCGTCTATTTTGTATTTTTATATTTTGTTGTTTGGCTGTGGTCCAGAGTTCCGTCCGAAAGGACAACATGATAATAAATCTACAATATATATCCGAAATCTGAAAGAAATAATCAAAACTAATATATATGAATATCTCTTCTAGCAAGAATCTCAACAATCTTGCAAAATATTATTGATTATCGTTTATATACTTTGGTACTTTGTATTACATATGAATTGTTAAGGATAAATGTAAATCTACTGATGGAGATTGTCACTCTGAATATACACGATCGATCAGGGGTTGGATCCTCTAACAATATCATCAGTTTTTTCATCGGCACAATTCGTTGGAGAGAAAGAAATAAGCGGGAAAGATTGTTTCGTCCTCAAGCTATCAACCGACCAAACTGATTTATCAAGACGCAGCGACTCAACGGCTGAGATGATCAAACACGTCGCCTTCGGTTACTTCAGCCAGAAAAGCGGCCTCTTAGTTTGCCTTGAAGATTCTTCCTTAACTAGGTAACATTATTGCTATTTCAATTTTTGGCCTTGTTAGGGTTTCACGTTTACCAAACTCAACAAAACCTAACTTGTTCCGGTCCAGCTTAGGGTTTAATGATATTCACAAAATTTGGTGGTTATGTAGGATTCAGATACCGGGAACACTTGCGACGTATTGGGAGACTTCAATGTCCTCATGGATGGAGGATTATCGAGCAATCGAAGGCAGTGAAGTGGTGATTGCGCATTCGGGTAGAACAGATGTGTTGATATCGAGATTTGGAGAGACTCTCAAAGGAGGAATCTCTGTGACTCGAATGGAAGAGAGATGGACCATAGATGATGTTGCATTCGACGTGCCTGGTCTCTCCGTCGATTGTTTTATACCTCCTAAGGAGATGAAGATGGAGTTTCAACACCAAGACGGTCAACAACATTTCTTAGCTTATTAGAAGACGAGAGCCAAAATTGTAATAATATCAAAATTAATTAGAAAACTGTAAAAGGGGTGTTTTTGTCACGATTAAAACTTTTGGGGGCCATTTGTAAAACTATATAATTCATAGAACACTATGTTCCTACCTCCTTTAGTACAGTTAGTGAAAAAGACAGGAAAGAGATTGTGGAGCAATAACCCCAAAAAAATGTCGCGAATTGCTTTAGGTCGTTATAGCCGTTACTTCTCGCGCCTTAAACCTCTGCCTTACCTGAATAAGCCTTCTTCGCTTTCCTCGGCTGCTTCGAATCGAGATGGCGCTTGTCAGACCGGGCCGCCACCGATCCGGGTCGGACTCACCGAGTCAACGGGTCGGGCTGTTTTCGCAACTCGTAGAATTGGTTCTGGGGATCTTATACACACGGCCAAGCCCGTATTAGCTTGCCCTTCTCTTGTTTCGCTCGACTCCGTTTGCTATCTTTGCCTCAAGAAGCTCATGGGTTCTGCTAAATTCTATGATCGTGGAGTCTCGTATTGCAGCCAAGAGTGCCAAGAGAACGCAAAGGTCGTATTTTTATTTTATTTATCTATGAATTTTCCCTTAAATCTCTCTTATGCTGCGTGATTATTGTTCTTGTAATTGGATTGCTTCCCTCAATTACCGCTTTTGTTCTGTTCTGTCCCCGTGTGAAGTAGCGCTTACCAAATGTTCGACGAAATGCTTCAATGGAAAAATTGTTTCAGCTGCTATATTTTGATAGAGATGAATCATAACCCTGTATGTGTACTTTTGGGTTCGTGATATATATATTTTTGATGATTTATAGGGGTTTTATGAAGTCGAAACAAGAGCAGATTGGTCAAGTTTTGGTGATTATTGTAGGTATGATACTCAACCTTATCCTTCTGGTTTCTTCGCTTTTGCATATGCGCATTTACGCCATTATTGTACCAAGCTTCAAACTTTTTTTTCTTTTCCATTTGTGCATATTATCAAGTTCTTGAAGTTGCTCTTTGTTTTCCACATGGAAGACTTTTTTGTATGCTTTTGGATTGAATGTGTTTGTTCAGTTCCGCGCTGAGAAACTCTTATAATGTCTAGTACTTTCTTGTCTGAATAAAGAAAACTAAGGAACTCGTACCTGCTTGATATATCTAGTAGTCTGTCTTGCTTATGCGAAAGGCCATAATATGGTTCCTCAAATCTTTCCTCTGTTCTTGGTAGGAAATAGATACAGAAAGATTAATCTCTAATGATGACTAAACTCTTTTTTTTCTTTGTGTCAGGACACACAACTTCAAGTACCCGCTTATGGTCAAGAGGTTATGTTGCATGGTAATATCAGGTGCTCTGCCTGCTGACTCTCTTGACATACTTCAACCCGCTGCTTTGTCTTCTGAGATGATTTCAAAGGTGAGTTATTGAGGATGAAAAACAATACAGTAATAATATATTTTGAATCTTCGTAGTCAAAAGATGCAAACTTTGAATTATATTCCCGGAGTTTCTCGTAGTATTCGAATTAATTGTTCATGCATTACACCATGTGAAGCTCACCTTGTCGCTCTATTATTCATCACATCCATGAGTAATTAAAAAAAATCTCAAGATGAATTTATTGGTCCTACAAAGTAGTTTGTTGCCCAGATGATGATCACTGGCTTGATATTGTTTCAGATAGAAGACGGTTATGGTTTGCTCTGGAATGCATTCAGGAAGGCAAATTTCAAGGATGACGATGTTGCCTGTATCCTTGGAGCTAATTTGCTTGTACTTCAAATCAATTTGATCTCAACTGTTCTGGATTTCATCTCTCTGCTGTTTATAGCCCTTAACATCTACAAGTTTTAACTAAACAATGGTATACGGCTGTTCTCGCCCGGATTCGTATCAATGCATTTCGTATTGATTTGGTTGGAGGCTCATGTGGCGAAGACCTTCTGTCACTGGCTGCAGCCTCTGTTGAAGGTGAAGGTGCAGTCGGCCATGCCGTTTACATGCTGCCATCCTTCTACAATCATGACTGTGGTAATAATATTCACTTGTTCCTTTCTTTTGTGATGACTATTAACAAATTTGTAGAAGTAGAAGTTTACGGAAAAGAAAGTGATGACTAGTTTGAATGTGCACAGATCCAAATGCACACATATTGTGGTTGCAGAATGCAGATGCAAGGTTGATGACTCTTCGCGATGTGGAAGAAGGTTTGGTCTTTTTATTCTTACAAACTGAGATTCCCTGTTAGCATGAATCTTGTGGGCATTTACACTGCTTACATTTGCAGGTGAAGAGCTTCGGATATGTTATATAGATGCAAGCATGGGATATGAAGCTCGGCAAGCACTACTCTCTCAAGGCTTTGGCTTCTCCTGCAACTGCTTACGCTGCCAATCAGGGGACTGAGATTAACTCTTTCCTCTCTGGTCATCTTCACTTTTCATGTATCTGTTGTAGTAAGTGAGAAGACGAAGACAACAATAATACATGCATGTATCGAGTAAAATGTCTAAACTCATGTAATTCTACTAAACACTGTTATTATCAAATGTTACATTCTAAAGAAATCAGAGTTTTCTCATATTATACATGAGTTAGAACACGAGTTCACATGCTATGAGGACAATCAAACATGTTGATGCATACAATTGAGCAATGTGGTTTATTACATGATCTTTATTGGGCTTTTTTTGGTGCAAAATGGAGCAAAATAAAATCTTGTTGAATCCAAACAACAAAGATCTAGACGAAAAAACATACCTTCACCATATGAGCTTTCTCATACTTTGGTTTTATGGTAAGAGACATTTCGTTTTTGTTTCCCAACTTTTAAAAGAATCTGTTAACGCTTATACAAAGAGATATATATATTTTTTTTTATTAAAACGGTTTCGATCCGCCTGAAGATTCCAAGTTGGAATTTCCAACTATCATTGAGATACAATTATATCACTAAAGAAATTTATACATCAACTTTTTTTTTAATGCTTCAGGCGGACCGAAACCGTTTTAAATACTTTAATAGTGAAATGCAAATACTCTAAACTTCCAATGAATTCGAACAAATATCAAACAATATAATAGATGCATTTAAAAATGACCAAATCCCATTATTGGTTTAATAAAAGCTTAACAAGATAATCGAACAACAACAACAGAAGAATCAAAATACAAAATCATCAAAAGAAATAATCGCAAACATTAATTCAAAAAAGAAAGAAAGAAATAATCGCAAGCATGTAACTTGGTAACGAAACCAATCAAAAATCAATAGTAGGGGGTTTTGTAGACATATGGTGGTGGTGGAGACTTGTAAGTGACCTTAGGAGAAGGCGAGTAATATGTTGGAGGTGGTGGAGAGTTGTATACATATGGTGGTGGTGGAGAGCTGTAGACATATGGAGGTGGTGGAGACTTATAGGTGACCTTAGGAGAAGGAGAGTAGTATGGTGGAGGTGGTGGAGAGCTGTAAACATATGGTGGTGGTGGAGACTCATAGGTGACCTTTGGAGAAGGAGAGTAGTATGGTGGAGGTGGTGGAGAGCTGTAGACATATGGTGGTGGTGGAGACTTATAGGTGACCTTAGGAGAAGGAGAGTAGTATGGTGGAGAGCTGTAAACATATGGTGGTGGTGGAGACTTATAGGTGACCTTTGGAGAAGGAGAGTAGTATGGTGGAGGTGGTGGAGAGCTGTAAACATATGGTGGTGGTGGAGACTCATAGGTGACCTTTGGAGAAGGAGAGTAGTATGGTGGAGGTGGTGGAGAGCTGTAGACATATGGTGGTGGTGGAGACTTATAGGTGACCTTAGGAGAAGGAGAGTAGTATGGTGGAGGTGGTGGAGAGCTGTAGACATATGGTGGTGGTGGAGACTTATAGGTGACCTTAGGAGAAGGAGAGTAGTATGGTGGAAGAGGTGGAGAGCTGTAAACATATGGTGGTGGTGGAGACTTGTAGTGAACTTTAGGAGAAGGAGAGTAGTATGGTGGGGGAGGTGGAGAGCTGTAGACATATGGTGGTGGTGGAGACTTGTAGTGAACCTTTGGAGAAGGAGAGTAATATGGTGGAGGAGGTGGAGAATTATGCACATACGGTTTTGGATGTGGCGTGTATTTAGGGCCTTGTCTTCTATATTCTGGTGGAGGAGGTGATGATGTCGAATAGTATGGAGAATACTTTTTGGGTAGATGTGGTGATTTGTGTTGATGAACCGGGGAATTATATTGTGGTGTTGGAGGTGATGAGTAAGGATATGCTGCAGCAGCAATGGCACTAAAAACCACAACGAAAACCATGCAATGGCTTAATCCCATCGTTCTTGAGGATCCCATCTTACTCATAGCTGCTTTTGTAGTTATTTCTTTTTTGTTGTTGTTGTTATGATATAGGTTAACATGGAAGCTATTTATATATAATCGATTTTGTATAAAATAGTATATTATCTTCCACCCATTTGGGTTCGTGTGTGGCACTTTGAGACACATTTAGAGGACGTGCTAAGGTGTTAGTTTGAAAAAGATATTTGATTTGTGGGGAATCTGAAATTTATCATATTCTCTTGCAACTTTCAATTAGTTAAAGTTGTTTTCTTATCTGAAGTTTTTTCTTATTTCTTCTTATATATATCGACAAACTTAAATAAAATGAACAAAACAAGCCTTTAATTGATGATTCTTTTAGCCACAAAGAATATATTTTTGTTTCATAACATTGATGTGACGAAAGCGAAATTTATTTCAGTATTTTACCAGTTAATTGTCTTTAACATGAGACGATCAAAAACTTTATAAGATTCTCTGAACCGATTAAATTTTAAAAAATTTAGTGGTTACGAAACAGTACTGTTGATTTGTATAATAATCGACTAGTCCGCACCATGTCTAGTAAATAATACTATATTGTTTTGTTTCTTTCACCTTGTATTTGGATTCCTCATCAACGCGTCGGGTCTATTTTTCTTATTGTAACATATACTGATACATGCACAGATACACGATCTGGCAACGTGTTTTTTTACATGATATATATCTAGGGTTTTTCTTTTTACTCTATTAATTAACATGGAAGATTTAAGCATATATATGGAGTTTTTGTTTTTGTTGTATACAGGTACGTAACGAACAAATCAATATGGCACTTTGTCATCGAGAGCAACATTTAATATAAGGAAACTCTTAATTAACACGATCGTACTCGTAGACGCAAAAAAGAGAAGAAAGAAGAATCGTGCCGGTGAGGAAACAAAGATGTGACATATCACATTTTACCATCTAACAGTATTAATTTGAGGGATCCACCTACAAAAAAAAATTGTACTATATGTTAATTCATGGTTGTTCAGGAATGATCATAAGAAAAAAAATTGTACTTAGATCACGAGAAAAGATTTAAGGCATAGCCTCATAGGCCATCAAAAGTCTCGAGCACTATTTAAAATAGAAGTAGGAACCTCAAAGATATATTTATACTATTTTGACATCGAACAAATGTACTAAAGGCTAAAGTTCTTCACAAAACATTGACATGACTTATCAATGACCGTAGTTCAACGGGTAGAAATGATCAAAACGAATCCGATTTAGAATTCCTTTTAGCCACTAAAATCACTACAAAGGAAACAATCAAATACCACTGTTTAATCCGTCACTAAATTCGTTAGATACATTTTTATTTTTCATCTGTTGAATTTTTAAAGAAAATCTTTGAAACTGTATTTCACAGTCACATTTCCGCTATTTAAATTCGAAATAAATGTTTACAATTAATAGGTTTTTTTCATAACAAATTAACAACCAAGATCGTAGTTAGAATTTAGTCTTTAATATATATACTCTCTCTATATAAATCTTTTATATTCATGCAATCCAAATACTACTGATGGCAAAAAGGTAGAATGATCTAGTATAGTTTATTCTGTTGATTTGTCAATAACATGTGTTTATCCTGTGTTTGAATACAGTAAAACAAACTACTGGGCTACATATCATGTATTATGTATAGTTTTGTTTATTTTTCTCTCGTTATATACAATATAACAAGACTATATATACAGAATATATAATTAGCAGAATAAAACATACAGTTAGAAAGAAAGAAACTATGTGGATACTAACGAAAATATAAATGTGCGTATTAGTACATTACAATTTCATGTCATTCACATATGTACATACCCCATCGGGAATTAAATGCAAGAAATATAAAGAAGACCGTACTTACAAGTTGCAAATTTGGCATACAAAGCGAGAGTATGCACTTGACTTCGCACTTAAGAGAAACTACCAAAAACATACGACTCTCAACAAATTTTCTCTCTTCTCTCTTCTTAGCCTCCAGAGCCACCACCCTCGATCGCCGTATCAAAATGAAGATTCATGACTTCATGAACATCGACTCTTTCTCTCCAAAGGAAAGACCACCGATTCGCCTTTTCGGGTTTGAGTTTGGAACTTCTCATGAAGAATCTGAGCTCAAGGAAAATTACTCCGAGACCAATAAAAGCATCAACGAAATCAGTACCACTAACAATAACAAAGACAAGAGATTCAAGTGCCACTATTGTTGCCGGAACTTTCCTACTTCACAAGCACTAGGCGGCCATCAAAACGCTCACAAGAGAGAGCGTCAACAAACCAAACGCTTCCACCTCCATTCAAACGCAGCCACTTTCTTCCACCGTCACCAAGACCATGTTGCTGCTTATAAATTCTTCGAGGATCACTTTCGCTTTGGAACTGGTCGGATCAACGGCGAGAGATTAGGGTTATGGCGTAGGTATAACTCATCAGCAAGATTCAATCGTGACCCTTCATCGTACAATAGATATATGCCTTTGTTCATCGGTGATCACCAGACTAGACCGACGTATGTTGGTGGTGGTAAGAGCAGGCATGGTTCATTCTTCGAGTCCAAGACGAATGTATCAGATCACGTGAGTTTGGATCTACGCCTCTAAGTTCTTAACTTCTTAGATCTCTAGTTCTTTTTTCTCTTCTTTTTTCATAGTTTTTGTTTTGTTTACCTACGATATAGTTAATCTCCATAGACATCATATATATTTTTGCGGTTAAACTACTCCATGCAGATGAAATAAAGAACTCTCAACGGTGAGCTTGTGTATTCATTTAAATGGAACTAGAACGTGTTACAAAATTTTGTGTCCAACTCATGAAATATGACCGAGTAATCTATTGGAATTTCTATTTTAGAACATTATTAGATCTGTATCTAAAATTTGAAACATTCAAACAAAAAAAGGCGATTCAAGATGTTTTAAAAGAATATGAATGAATACCATTGAAACTGATATTGGACTCAAATAGCCAACTCTGTTTCCTTGGAAGCAATGTGTCGGCCTAAACAAACCAATACACATATATGATTTGAACATAGAATAAATCACAAGCTAATAAACGTATGAACTGAGAAGTTTAACTAGAATGATGTACTTTCTTGAATCTATGATTAATTCGAGGAAACTAAACATCAGATTTGCAAAACAAATTATTAATGTGTGTGATGTGAGAAAAGACGGTGGTGGGTACATGTATCGTCCTATATCGATTTTAATTTCAATCTAACTTCGGTTGTACAAAGTACAAAGGCAACGTTTCATAATAAACAAAGGAAATTTCATGTCCCACAGTTTAAAAATCCCCCCTAAAAATTAAATTGGCAATGAGAAAAAAGGCAAGAGTAAAGGACGTTTATTTTCCCATTTTATTTGGCTCACCCGCTCACCCATTTCCATATCTACTTTTGGGTGAAACATATAATCAAGTGCTTAGATTCTATGTACTATATGTATAACATGAGAAATATTAGCAGGTGATTAATTTGATCCAAGGGAGAAGGATCTCTCTATTTTGTCTTTTCAGAATATCTGACCATTCGATCGTTAATTTTGATAACTGTGGGAAATCATACATTTTTCAATCGTTTATAAGCTAAAGCAAACAGTGTGTCGTTTTTCATATAGTAAAACGGCATCAGTAGTGCATGCTATGCCGTTTTAAATTAAGCTAAAACAGTGACATTTTAAAAGTAGACTGTATATCGTATCGCCGTATAGGAAATCAAAGCTGTGTGTGTCTTTTGCGAAATGGCGACCGCGATGCCGCTATTCGCCTCTTTCAAGTACGCCGATAGCCTTACCGTCGTCGGAATCTCCTTCTGCACGGCCTTGGTCTGCGAAGCAATCTCGTGGATCCTAATCTACCGCACGAGCTCCTACCGATCCCTGAAATATTCGATTGACAAGGCCTCGAAGAAGCTGGAGACGATGAAGACCGATAATCCTTCCTCGAAGCTAAACATCAAGAAGTCGAAGACGAAGAAGATAGATCGCGTGGAGACCAGCCTGAAGGAGTCGAGCAGGGATCTCTCGCTCTTCAAGTTCAAATCGGGCGCCGTCGTGGCTCTGGTTCTCTTTGTGGTGTTCGGCCTGTTGAACTCGCTCTTCGAAGGGAAAGTCGTCGCGAAGCTTCCTTTCCACCCGATCACGATCGTGAGGAAGATGAGCCACAGGGGACTGAAAGGCGACGATTCCACGGATTGCACCATGGCTTTCCTTTATCTTCTGTGCTCCATCAGCATAAGGACCAATCTGCAGAAGTTCTTGGGCTTCTCCCCGCCGAGAGGAGCTACCGGTGCTGGTGGGTTGTTCCCCATGCCGGATCCAAAGACGAATTGATCAGGTCAAGACCTGATTTTTCTCTGTAATTTTGTGGTTATTGAATTGGGTAGCTAATTCTGAGCTCGTTGCTCTGAAATTTCCATGGATTCTCACTGGTTGTTTTAGTTGAAACATAATGAATGAATTTGTTGCGAAACGCTTTCAAAGCTTCAAGCTTTGTTCTTCTGATCTCTGCTTTCTTAATTCTGGGAATGTTGATTATATCTAGAGATTTTAAAATCAAGTTGGGAGATTCAAAGAGGTAGTTTGCACAAGAGAGACTTTATTTGCCTTTGAGATACTTCCTTTACAGTATTATCAACAAACAAAAAAAGAGTCGAGCATTAGAATGGAAATTAGGATTTGAAACAAAATGCACAAACTCAAAATCACGAATCTCAAATCGATTATTGCAACTCGAATCATACTTTTAAGTTCCAAAATGATCGATTTGTCTTGTCTCTGATACTGAGTCAGATATATCTCCTTGGGATTTTCTCAACTTAGCAACAAGAACCCACATATTAGCAAGTTCGTTCTCTAGATACGCTTCTCTTTGTTTCGACTCTTCTACTCTTCTCTGTAGCTCCGCTTCTCTTTCTACTTTCTCAACAAGAGCAGCTTCAAACGATGCTTCACGTTCCTTCCTCATACTCAGTTCCATCAGCGAGCTGTCTTGCTCTTTCCTCTTTACAAGACTCTCTCTCCTTCCATTCCTCAGGTTTCCTGACTTGCCTCGCGGTGTAACGGAGCTCTTATGCGCTGCTGCTGCCAGATCAGCTGCTAGCCTCCCATTGTGAGTCATGAGTCTTGTTACTTCCTCAGACAATGCCTTGAGCTCAACAGCAGCCGCTGAAGCAAGCCCTTTCGCATATGAACTCTCTTCAGCGAGTTTCTGGCTCCGGAGTTCTAGTTCTTCCTTCAGTTCACTTAGTTCTGCAGCTTTCAGTTTAAGCTCCTCGATCTCAAATGCCTGGTCATGTCTCCGTCAGACAGTGAATATAATATGTTTAGATTTGCCAAGATCAACTATAAGGGAAGAGGAAGATCGGTGAAATATGGGAGTTTTACCTGTGCTTGTATGACTTTTTCGTCATTTTTGTTTGGGGTCTCAAAAGATTGTTGCATGTGGCTTGTGATATCCCCCAGTTCCAGGGCGTCAGAAAGCTGCTGCTTTAGGTTTGCAACCTCTTCTTGCAATGATTCACATACACATGTCTGCAGAAAAGAGTTAATTAGTTACAGAGATACTAGCTTCGAAGGTTTCTAGATACGCTGGAATTGGGGTAAGGGATGAGGTATTATCTGAACCTTTTGGTTGAGTTGTTCCTGAATGATTCGATTTTCTGCAGCTTTAACCTGTAAATAAAATGAAAATGTATCAGGCAGGTTTCAGCAAAGCCATCTTAGGTGCAGTATCAATCAAGAGACGAAGTTACTGTGTAAACAGAGGGCTTCAGCACCTCGAGTTCAAAACATTTCTCATTTAGTTGAGTCCTCATTTCAGAAACAGCCTGAAGATAAGAGAGAAACCCACTTGAGAAAAAAATCGAAAATCATAGATAAATGGCAGACCAAAAAACCTGAACTGGATAATCCACCTGCACGATATCGGACTTATCCAATGCATCATGTGATGCTATTACAAAATCCAGAATTTGTTTCCCCAACTTAGCAATCTGGTCGTTCTTCGACTTGATGTCGCCATCGAGGTTTATAATCTCTGCCTGCATAATTCCAAAGACAACCCCAGGAAGGTAAATACTGTATGTGCATAATCTGACTGAAAATTTGATATCGATCATGAACAGAATGTAAAGATTACTTTAATTTCTTCATTTTGAGGGGCTTTGGCAGCCTCTTCTGACAACAGTTTGAAAGACCTTGATTGTAGCGCCATCTCCTCAGACAAAATCTTTTGCTGTTCCCTCAGTATTTCCATCTGATCAATCATTTTTCTTCTAGTCTGTGACCAAGAACATAATGACTTAAAAATCGTGCATTCAGTTAGTTGTTCTCAAGAGACCTATATGAGATGTAAGAGAGTCTCCATGTACCTCAGGTGTCTCTAACTCATGAAAACTGCTTCCGTGAGCTTCTTTGTCTTCCCTAGGCTCTAAGTTTTGATCCGCCAATGGTGATCCTTCTGAAAGTCTAGATTCTGTATGAATATTACTGCCTCCCCCTTCAGGAGTTGACGGTGTGCTATTTGACTTGACCGCACTCGCCTTGTCGCTGTTGCTTGATCCCCCTAAACTGTTGTCTTTTTTCTGATAGTCAAACAGTAATGAGAGAAAAGTTGGCAAGAGAGGCAACGCCGGAAAAAAAAAAAATAGAATGAAGACAATCTACTAAAAGAGAATGAGGCTGTGTATAAGGTTATGATGTTAAGGGAAATGCTCAGAAGTTTATCAAAGCCATATAAATGCTAGATTCACCACATGTGTACCTTAAGTTTCAACCAATTCAGCAGTCCATGTTTCCTGGTTTTCTTTTCTTCTCTGAACGCATCATCTATAATCTCAGGACTGCCTTCACGAGAAACATAGAATTCAAGGTTCTCATCATCCATCAAGTCCCGCCTCTTGTATGGTAGGTAAGCAAGCTGGCCATGCATTATCAACTAAGATCAGCCAAATCATAATAATCGCCTGACATGCTGTTGGGAAATTGACCATTTCAACGTTTAGTAAAATGGTCCAGCCTAAACAAGTGACTCTACCTCCTCTTCTCCAAATGAGTGTCTTCTCCGAAGGTCAACACGATATGAAAACCGCGATTTTTGTGGGGTTTTAGTAGACACGAGAATTAATTTTGTCAGGCGTTGGATTCGACTCAAGAGAGCTGCTTTAGCATCTTCCTCTTCCTCTAGCTTTTATAATCACATCAAAAGAAAAGCACGCAAAGCACATTTCAAGTCTCCCAAACTGAAGCGCGATATAGTAAAGTATCACAGGTCCATTGCAAACGTTTAAGCAGGGATCAGTGACAGGAAAACGTACTTTCTGCTTCAGGAGAACAATATTATCTTCACTAATATCCTTTAACTGGGAAACTGGCTTAATTCCTTGTTTAAGCTCTTCCAACTCTTCCTTGAGTTGGCGAATCTCGTGTTGGTACTTCTTGATTAATGATTTCTCGTCAATTATCTGTATTTTTCAGAAAAAAAAATTATATGGTTAGAAATCAAGAAAGAACTTCAGTGAAGACATGCACTGAGATGAGAAAATAGATGTAACTAAGACCTTGTTCTGTGCGGCTCGAATCTCGATATGCTTTGCGCGATGGGCAAATTTCAAAGTGTTGTGTGTTTCTTCGGAGCTGCTTGATGCAGGAGTCACTGTACATATGAGCTGCCATATCCAGATGGAACAATCAATTAGTGAAGTCGATCAAATTTTTTTCTGGCAACAAGAAGCTAATGTACATCTCTAACAATACTTACAGATACACGTCCATGACCACTTAATGAGGACTGAAGCAGCCTGGTTAATTTAGAGTCCCTATATGGTACGTGACTAGCCTTCCTATCTGTAAGCTTCGATATTACCTACAAAATTACGAAAGAACAATCCAGCTTCAGCTTAAGGGAGATTATTTAGCATAATGACTGGAAGGCAAAAACCAACCAAGGTTTACAGCTGAAAAAGGAAGAAAAACAATCTAATGGGCCTATTTTACAAGAAAGTGTCAAAGAAGTTCTTAAGTTCAACTAAGCTACGAAAAACTATTGTTGCTTGGAGAAAACAGTGATAGCCAAGAACTCACAGTCCCTAAAGTCAGCAAACTTTTATTTATATAAGACCCTTCCTTTCGCCTTAGACCAGTGGTTTCAGCCTTTGAGCTCTCGGAACCTGCCAGGTCAATGAGGTTCTGCAGATAATAAGCGAAATTATGGCCAGTTAATCAATGGTTTACCTTCAAGCGTTCAGAAAGTACAACAATGAAATCAAAGTTGAATATGGTCCAGAGTTGAAGCAAAAGTAAGCTTTAACCGACCATAAAAGCACAGGATAATAACAAAGCCACATACCAGCTGCGAGAGGTGTACAGCTTCACCTCCATTAATTTCACCCAAGGGACTACTCTCTATGGTCTGCATCCAACCAGTTTTAACATCTTTCAGAAACGGTATAGCTATACAATAAGTCACAATGCTTTTGAAGAGAAAAATAAACGTACCAGGGTAAACATTGTATGACTCCGGCTGCTGAGCAAATTAAAACTTGTGGATCCAATATGTCGATGCTCTGTCATCAAACATAAATTCTATCAAGATGACTTGCATGATAAGCAAAAGAATGAAGAAAAAAGTACTAAATGCACGAGAAGGATTATGTAAGGAAACTAGTGGAATCAAGAAAGAGAAACATGGAAGCGCCTACCTTCTCCAGCTGCTATAAGAGAAAGTGCATGAGCAGGGGATAGCACAACTTCTTCTTTAATCCCTTCAATAAAGGTTCCCTATAATCGGCAAGAAAGAGAGGTTCAATGTAGAATCTTAGAGGGAAAGACACTCAAAGCAATAGAAGTAGTCAAGTTTTTACTAACTTTCTTAGGCCATACAAGAGTTAAGAGAAGCAACTTCAAATCTAGTATACTCGAATAAGAAAATGTGATCCAGGACATTCAAATATTGATAATCTGGCCATTTTTCACATCGTATTTGCAGGATCACAGAGAATTTCATTTAATAAGAAAATGGAACAAGTAAAAATGGTGTGCAAGGTTTTGAGTTTCTATGATGAGCACTATAGTCACAAGAAATGTGTTATGAGACAATGAAATCAGGCACTATGCATGTTACCAACAGAAAAGTAGATAAGAGGATCCAAACTGAAACAAGTACCTGCTCATCTTCTCTGATCCTCAAATTTTGTCCTACCGGGTTCAGTAAATCATTGACAACCTGACGTAAAATACCCCGTTTAGAAAAATTAAGTAGAATCAAAAGCAGAATCTGACTATCATTCAGCACCACTTGTGAAGTTGACGATAGGGAATCAAGAGGAGAACAGGAAGTAGTGAGTAGCACCTCATTATAAATTTCCAAGTAGGAAACACGTAGGAGAAATTCTCGCCTTGGTGTCTGCAAGAAAAAAAAAATATATATGATGTTTGTAGCACTCAGGCCAGGGAATTCGACTGATCAACATCCTAAGAGGTACCTCTTGTATAATGCTGAAAGCATCTTTCACGGCTAATGGTATGATTCCAGGAGATCTTTGGTCCCCCTAACATTTGAACCAAACAAAACTGTCTTCATGAGATAAATCTGTTCCTATGTCATGCACATCTTTGAAGCCACACGTAAACATGTTCTCTAAAACGACGTGTATAAAATTGTTATTAGTGAATCTTACATGCATAGTGTGAGTTTTTCCACTGCTTGTCACTCCGTATGCAAAAATGGTCCCTGTGGTTGGATGAACACTCAAAGTCACTACATTTCCTAATCAATTGGCAATTAAATCTAACTCAAAATTGTTCTAGAGACTAAGACAAGCACTAGATACAGTCTGCCAACTCAAAGATCTCATGTTCCAAATGAATCACCAGATTCATGATACTGGTGCTTGGGGTAAGCTTTGATATAATATAAATAAGTATATCTTTTACTCTTCCAAGAATTCCTATCTAGATCGGCCACCAAAAAGGTGTTTACTCTGTCATTTTTAACAACAACAAAAAACGTGTTTACTCCATACCATTTGTCCCTTCCATAGCACCATTAACGACATGTTGAGCAGCAACATCATAGACTTGGCGTGTTGTTGTTGTAGGCCCAAAAACACGGTCTGCAAGAAAGGAGAGAACTTCATGAAAACAGCTTAGCAGATCGGAATCTGACATTCATTCATGGTGCATGAAACTTCAATCTGTGACACAATACTTGTATACCTCCATTGATATTCATGAGTGATGCAACGCTCTATATACAACATTTATGATACTTACAGAAATTCGTGACACTAATCAGAGTGTTAAAACTAACCATAGGCGTAAGCTATTGACTGATTATTCTCATTCCGCACAATAGTTTCCCCGTCTGCATACCACGCAATCTCCTCCCCTCGGCGGATTTCCCTTGGACTGCGTCAAGCATAAACAAATGTCAAATTCAGAGAAGTAAGATCATCAACTCAGTGTTTGAATGCTATACAGTGAGTCACCACCATTCACCTGAGTGGACGGAAACGAACAGTCACTGTGACGTTTTCTTTGGACTGCGAAGCAGGAGGATGCGTATGGTGTAACAGAGGCTTGCTTCGAGCAGATGAAGAAGTAGGGGAGATATGGCTATCCACAGATGTCGAGGTTGTTGAAGATGCAGGGGAACCATCAGCCTTTAACTTGCTAGACCCAGATTTTCTTGGCTTTGGTACTTGTCTTGACGCCATTACAAACAAATTTCCAACTTCCGGAGACTGAAAAATAACATTTTTTATCAATAAAACAAAAATCAGTGATTGTTCTTAAGATTGAGCAGACGAAAATCCACAAGAAAACACATAGACCCACTAGCAAATTTAAACGGCAGCATTGAAATGGGCAGTTTCAATCTCTCAACTTTCCAGGAAACCAAAATGCCTAAGAACAATTTGAGAAAAAAAAAGATACAAAATTTGGATACAAACAATGGAGGATTAATTGCGAAGCGAATCAGAGAATCACAATCGCAGGAAGACGGAAAGTGGACGTATAAGAATTACCCAATTGCCACTTACAACACTTGGACAAAAAAATGCGGGTTTAGGTTTCATTTTTCTCAGGTAAAGCAAACGGCATTACAGAAAAATTCCAACACAAGAGACGAAAAAGGCCAGAGAGGCAGCAAGTGGTTACCTCAACAGTGAATCAATGAAGCATCGCCGCCGCTAAAAGCCGAATCGCATGCAAAAGAAAATAAAAAGGATTACGCGAGAGAGAGAGAGAGAGAGAGAGAGTGAGAGTGATTACGTACAAGAACCGGCACTTAAGACAAGTATCATTGTCACTAATCAGTTCGTTGATTGCGATTGTAAAGAGGGTTTACTTTTTAAAATCTCGCTTGCCTTTGAAGCGATTATAGCTTAATCCTAAACAAAAAACTACTCTCTCATTTCTCAAATTGTTTATTCCGTTATCCTCGTAAATTGCAAATTTGTAATCATATAAAACAATAAAACATCATAAAGGAGAGAGAGAAAGAGACGAAGAAGAGTATCACATACATGTATATGTACGTATCTGTCTTCACGTATAGGACTCGGATACTGTGAGGAGGAGAGGAGAGCCGAATTTTTTATCTCTATACTTTTACAAAACCCAAAATGTAAATAACTTACAAACTGTGGGTAAAGTCAATTAACTCGCTATGATTATTCCATAGTGAAGTAAATCTAAGTGTATTAAATTTTTATGAATATAGAGAAAGTAAATAATGAAAACTAGAATCTGATCATTACAAAAAAAGTTTTGGTAGAGAATATATTTGCTTTTGAAGATAATTGAACAAACATATAAATTGGTCAATTTTTGTTTTTTGAAGCCTTATTTGTAAAAAATCATTTTTTCTTGTCCTTAATTTTTTTCACCGGAATAAAGAGGAAATATGTTTCCAATTTTCATCCTGATTGATGATAATAATAAGAAAAATATTTTTCCATCCAATTTATTAGCTTTCAAATATAAACTTAGTTAAATAAAAAAGTAGATTTTTTTTTCCCAATATTTTTGGATTCCAACATATTCATTTGCCCGCCGAGGAAAGTCCAAAAGAGCCCATCTCTCTACTCCTTCACACTACTCTCTCACTCGCCCACTCTGCAATTCTTTCGATTCAAAAACCAAATTCAATTAAAATTGGAAGAAGAAGAACGAAAAAAAGGAAAAAGATAAATCAAAAGGTGAAAATCGAAGAAGAAAAGCGAAAAAGGGCTAATGGAGGACGACGATCAGCAGAAGGCTGCAGATCTAGTACAGGAGCTTGTTCTTCGTCTTCTCTCCCAAAACCCTCAAACCCCTAATCCCGATCCCAATTCTCCCGCCTTCCTCAAAACCCTTCGTTACGCCTTCCGCATCCTCTCCAGCCGCCTCACTCCCTCCGTCGCCCCCGACGCCACCGCCATCGCCGAGTCCCTCAAACGCCGCCTCGCCACTCAAGGTAAGTCCTCCGACGCCCTCGCCTTTGCCGATCTCTACACCAAGTTCGCCTCCAAGACTGGTCCCGGCAGCGTCAACAATAAATGGGCTCTCGTCTACCTGCTCAAAATCGTTTCTGACGATCGTAAATCGGCTATAAACGGTCTCGATTCGTCGGTTCTGCTACCCAATTTGGGGCTCGGCGATGCCGCGTCGTCGCTAGGTAACGGGCTTCTTCGCGGTGGAGAGGCTAAGAAGAAGGATTGGAGTAATGGGGTTCTGTTGGTTAGTAAAGACCCTGAAAATTTGAGGGATATTGCGTTTAGAGAGTATGCGGCTTTGGTTAAGGAAGAGAATGAAGTTACGGAAGAGGTTCTCGTTAGGGATGTGTTGTACGCTTGCCAAGGCATTGATGGCAAGTATGTGAAATTCAACAGCGAAATAGATGGTTACGCGGTGCTGGACTATGTTAAGGTACCTCGAGCCACGAGGATTATGGTCCGTATGCTCTCTGAGCTTGGCTGGTTGTTTAGGAAGGTGAAGACTTTTATCTCCGAGAGTATGGATCGGTTTCCAGCTGAAGAAGTGGGAACTGTTGGGCAAGCGTTTTGTGCGGCATTGCAGGATGAGCTCTCTGATTACTATAAGTTGTTGGCCGTGCTCGAAGCGCAGGCCATGAATCCTATTCCTTTGGTTTCTCAATCTGCCGGCTCAAGCAATTACCTTTCCCTGAGGAGACTTTCGGTGTGGTTCGCGGAGCCCATGGTGAAAATGAGACTGATGGCTGTTTTGGTCGACAAGTGTAAGGTACTGAGAGGTGGGGCGATGGCTGGGGCTATCCACCTGCACGCACAGCACGGTGATCCGCTTGTTCACGAGTTTATGATGAGTTTGCTCCGATGTGTGTGTTCTCCATTGTTTGAAATGGTGAGAAGTTGGGTTCTAGAAGGGGAGCTGGAAGATACTTTTGGTGAATTCTTCGTCGTGGGTCATCCGGTTAAAGTCGATTCGCTTTGGAGGGAAGGTTATAAGCTCCACCCAGGGATGCTTCCGTCTTTTATTTCACCGAGTCTTGCTCAGAGAATTCTGAGAACTGGGAAATCTATAAACTTTCTTCGTGTTTGCTGCGATGATCACGGGTGGGCTGATGCAGCTTCAGAAGCAGCAGCTGCCTCTGGGACGACGACTAGGCGTGGAGGTCTCGGGTATGGTGAGACTGATGCACTTGAGCATCTTGTTACTGAGGCGGCAAAGAGAATCGACAAGCATCTGTTGGATGTTCTGTATAAGAGATATAAATTTAAGGAACACTGTCTTGCGATTAAGCGTTATTTACTACTTGGTCAGGGTGATTTTGTCCAGTACTTGATGGATATTGTAGGACCTAAGCTTTCTGAGCCAGCCAATAATATCAGTTCATTTGAGCTAGCTGGGTTTCTTGAAACAGCAATAAGGGCATCTAATGCGCAGTATGATGACCGTGACATGTTGGACAGGCTGAGGGTAAAAATGATGCCTCATGGCAGTGGAGACAGAGGTTGGGATGTATTCTCATTGGAATATGAGGCCAGGGTTCCACTAGATACGGTGTTTACTGAGTCTGTTTTGTCCAAATACTTGAGAGTGTTCAATTTTCTCTGGAAGTTGAAAAGGGTGGAGCATGCTCTCATCGGAGTCTGGAAGACCATGAAACCAAATTGCATCACTTCTAATTCATTCGTTAAGCTCCAAACATCGGTGAAGTTGCAGCTGCTCTCAGCCCTGAGGCGGTGCCAGGTTCTGTGGAATGAAATGAACCATTTTGTGACCAACTTTCAGTATTACATCATGTTTGAGGTGTTGGAGGTGTCATGGTCTAATTTCGCAAAAGAAATGGAAGCTGCTAAAGACCTCGATGATCTTTTGGCTGCACATGAGAAGTACCTCAACTCCATCGTTGGAAAATCTCTTCTGGGTGAACAGTCCGAGACCATCCGCAAATCACTCTTCGTCCTCTTTGAGCTTATATTACGGTTCAGGAGTCATGCAGATCGTTTGTATGAAGGAATTTACGAGTTGCAAATAAGGTGATTTTTTTGTCTTAAAATCTATTTATATTTCAAACAAAACTAGACTTTAACCCTTTGCTCGATCATATTCCTCTGTATCAAGGGTCACGATTTGATCTTTAAAAATATATCTGATTGCCTGCAGAACTAAAGAGTCAGGACGAGAAAGAAACAAAGCGCAAGAGTCAAGTTCATGGATCAGTGAGGGTAGGAAAGCCATAACACAGCGTGCTGGAGAGTTTCTTCAAAGCATGAGTCAAGATATGGACAGTATCGCAAAGGAATACACATCCTCACTCGATGGGTTCCTGTCCCTTCTGCCTCTCCAACAATCTGTAGATCTCAAATTCCTCTTCTTCCGGCTCGACTTCACGGAGTTCTACAGCCGGTTGCATTCCAAAGGATAAGAAAGTTGAAAAGAGTAATTGGTTTAGTTGAAAAGCATATATTCCACAATAGCAAGAGAAGAAGACATGCTCTACTTTGACTAACCGCTGACTGCAGCATGGGCTTGCAGAGGATCTTTTCTTGAATCTAGGTGCGTGGAAGAATCTGTTTCTTATTTATGCCAGTTATTTTATGAGTCTGCCTCATAGATTTGCTGTCTTAAACAACAACAATCTGTGCAACAGACCCCCTGTATTTTAGAGTTTGGGATGGGGAAACAGATTCTTGTGTTGGTTAAAATCGGGTAAGGTTTGTGTTTGATTTTGTGCCAATCATTCTGGTCTGATAATCTGCAGCTTTAGTTTTTATTGGGTTTTTTCTTTTTCCATGTGGTTTCTGTAAGCTCTATTCAAGCTTTCGCTGATTTGTATGATTGGTTTTTATGACTTGGTTGATATAAGAAGGAATTAGTTGTTTGATATTCTTGTATTTCCTTACTGTGAATGGCTCCAAGCTCTCTTGAGTTTTTGGCTCTCGAAAAGCTTCTGCGGCCACAGCCTGAGATCGAGCATGAGCACTAGATCACTGCGATTTGAATCAGCGAGGCTTTATCATGCAATAATCGATTAACTTTTTGAGGGTCATTTTATCTTTTTTTATCACTTGGTCAACAGAAGTTATCAACTTCATTCCCGTTTATCCCTTAAAAGCCAGGTTAATTAGCAAATTATATTTTTGGTTTCATCGACAGCAGTAAAACAAACAAATGTGCTACATATCATGAGAGTGATTACAAAGCACTTAAGAGAAGTATCATTGTCATGAATCAGCTCGTTGATTGCGATTGTAAAGAGGGTTTGTACTTATAAAATTATAAAATCTCGCTTGCTCTTGAAGCGATTATAGCTTAATCCTAACCAAAACCACTCTCTCATTTCTAAAACATTTGAGTTAGTGTCGGTTTATCAATCAGAAAACAAAATGGAGGCTTACAGAATAAAAAAGAGATAATGCGTCGCCTGAGAGATTCGAACTCTCGCGGGGAAACCCCATGTACTTAGCAGGCACACGCCTTAACCACTCGGCCAAAGCGACGATCTTGTTACAAGTACCAAACTTATATAGTTGATCATATAATCCCCAGTTTCTAGGATTGTTTTAAGACTAAAAACAAAATTCACTAGTTCTGTTTACCAAATTCTCGATATCTCTCATTCATATATCAGAAAAGGTAAAATCAAAGGGACTGTACAGATAAATGGAAAAAGAGAGGAGGAAGGGAAAAAAATGAGAATCAGACATATTTGTTGATCAACTCTCTAACTTCTTCGATGACAAGCCATCCTTTATGGCCTCCTATCACTTCCTCTTTCATCTCATCTTCCTTCCATAACTGCACTCAAAACACTCAATTCTCTCTTCGTTACATTATTATCAGCTTCATTTACTATTTCACTACTTTCTTATGGTCACTATAATGCATCTCTGAAAGTCAATAAAACAACTTGTAAACAAGAAAGCATACCTGAATGGTGGGCATTTTCTGCATTAACACATGAATATGGAAACTGATTCAGATCTGGCAAAAGAAAAAGAGTAATAGGATATATGTGCTTGATTGTTTAAGTATCTTACCGAAATGTTTCCACGCTTCACCAAGGTTTGAGGGACCTTGTTCACATCCACGTAGTAAAACTTTGCTCTGTTTTATTCATTTCAGTTCACTTCACAAAGAAAAATATTCGACTTTTGCAATAACATTCTTGTAAATTGTTGTTAACTTTGTTATCAGCTTACTTGTTATCGTATTCCGCCGCCAATTTCTCCAACTTTGGCTTCAAGTAAATACATTTTCGACACCAAGAAGCCATCCTGTCCCAAATATTTTGTTAACCCTATTTTCTTCCAAATATTGACCATCTAAATATGTGGTCCGAGATCATGATGGCTTCCTTTTGCCTATCTTATGGACCGGACTTGGCTATAACAGACCCTTAGATTATGAAAGAATATATGATTCCGGTGTGATTACCAATCGATGATGATGGGCTGGGAGAGGTTGCGTGCGTGAGAGAGAACAGCATCGAGCTCGTCGACGTCGTTAATGGGTTCCATCTCCACAGTCTCAGGCCGTGATACGTTTGACCAAAAGGCTTTTAATCTCCACACTTTCTCTATCTGTGACCTCCCAAGCTTATCACTGTAAACCTTGACAAAAGACCCACACTTCTTCTCCCAATTCAAACTCTCTTTCCTCCAAAACTGTTCCTTCTTGTAATTACTGTGACATTGTCTCGTTAGCATTTGAGCGTTTGATGCCAAAGCTGCCATTTTTTTTTTTTTGGCTTTCTTCTGAATTTTTCAAAGAAGAGATACGATGAGATATTGTAAAGTTTTCATATGACATAATTAAGATATTTTTTTTGTTTTGAGAGTTTTGGGAAGAGATGTGAGGAGATGGAGAGAGAGCTTATCCGAAGATGATGAGGTGGACAAAAATGCCAAGTTGCCAACGGTGAGCTGCGTTGGTGGGGGCCACCTTTCTCCATTTTTTTTTACTATTTGCTATCATCTTCTTGTTTAAACTATTTAGCAACTCTGTTAAAAAATTAAAATTGAAAAGTAAGTTTGATGACCAAAAAACACATAAAAGCCTCAATTAGTATATTACACTTAACCATTTCCTTAAAATCGGAAACCATGTGTAACTGCACCATTTTATACGTCTTATAAAAAGTTTCAAAACACATCACTAGTCAACAATTATAAATAGCAAAACTTGTGAGTCTGCGACGGTGCATTAGTCTGAAGAATCTGATGCATTCAAATCAGTCGGTGATGAAGGAAACCCCGACGCGATTTCCTTAATTTTCTCGTCTCCATTTAATTATTATTTATAGTTTAAATGCTGTCGGTATATAAGCATGTTATTTTATTATTATACTATGCGTTTAATAAAAAAAGAGATTAGTGAAGTTTGGTTTTTAATAACAAGATTTCTAGAAGTCGTAATGCCAAAAAGGTTCTTCGTTAGAATAGTGATTAGTGAAGGAAAGGCAAAGAGTCCAAACCAAAGTAGAGGAAAGTGGTCCACACGCTAAAGACTTATTAGTCACTAAACCATCTCTCCATAGACTTCCCCTCTTTATTTACCCAATCCTGCCACCTAACTAAAATACGAAATTGCCGACAAAGAAAAAACTAAAATTTGGAATTAAGATTTTTATTTCCAAGATTTGATTCAATATATATTATATAGAAATTTTGTAGATATTATACGCACTTTAATATAATAAAAAAAAATAGAAAACTATCTACAAGTTACTAAAAGAGAGCTTTAATTAAATGTTTTTGCTCTTCAATTATGAAAAGAGAGTTTCGTAGGTAAGTAATACCAAAAAGGAATACAATCATATAGTATTTCAAAATATGATAATATATCCGGCAGCGTTCACTCTTTGTAATAAACATTAGGTAAGTAGATAATATAGTATTTCAAAATATGATAATATATCCAAAACATAAAATTAAAACAAGAATTTCGGAATTTCGGATTTTAGATAGATATTCCACCTTAGGGCAGTGTTCACTCTTTGTAATAAACATAACTGAAACTCTTCTTCTTCATGGGTACCTGCGGACCGAAAAGATATAGGAGAAAGAAATCGAATATCAGTCCACCGACACGCATTTTGAAGTGGCATTTCCGTAATTCATCAGAAAACCGAGGGGCAATTTTATTGAAAACTCCTCCACTTTATGTCATTCCCTTAACGAACGATGTCGTCTTACTAAACAAATGCCCCGTTCTCTCTGGTTTCTTAAAAAGTCATCTCTCTTCTTCATACACATCTCTGCAACCTGTTTCTCTCTCTAACCCTAATTAAAAGCATTATTTCTCTTTCTTAACCACCAAAACACTCGTCACGCGCCACGAACTCCACTCACCCCATTTCACTTTGTGTCTCCTCCCCCCCCCTTTTCGTCTCTATGGCGTCGGACGCCGTCAAGTATATGCCGATTCACGGCGGAACAACAACCGCCGCCGCAGCATCCGAAATCAGAAGCTTCTTCTCCGCCATGAAACCCAAAAAAACCTCAACTTTCGCTTACGCCTTTGTAATCACTTTCATCTCCTTCACTCTATTCTTTGCCTTTAGTCCTTCTCCAAACTCTTCTTCTCTTTGGTTCTCTAACATCTTCTCTTCCTCCTCCTCCACAACCTCTTCATCAGACAACACTTCCGGATCTCACTTCTCTTCGATATTCTCTTATATCATCCCCAATGTCACTTCATCGAAACCCACCAATAGATCTAGCGACGCCACGTCGAATAACACCGTTCCCATCTCTGTAAACACCACTTCACCGTCTCCCACTTCGAATTCCGGCTCCGATATCCCCAAAAACAGTTCTTTGCAAGCTCCGGCGCCGGGAAATCTCACTCCGGTTGCTAAAAACGCGACCTTTGAATCCCCGACGGTAAACGGAACCAAGCTGGTTGCTAAAAGCAACGCTTCGCATCCCCTGCTTCCAGATAATCCGCCGATTGGTTCGAGTAATCAGTCACAGACCACAGATGCTGTTCGAAATTCGGAATCTCTTAAGAAAAACCAGACAGCAGCTCCGGCGCCGGCGAAAGCACCCGTGTCGGTGGATCTGACGGCCAATTCCAGTTCATCAACAGCTTCTTCACCGGCGAAACAAACTGGAAACGGCGATTTGGTTTCGTCAGTGAAACAAGAGATCGAGAAATGGAGTGAATCTCTGAAGGATTGCGAGTTCTTCGACGGAGGATGGATTAAGGACGATTCGTATCCGCTCTACAAACCCGGTTCGTGTAAGCTGATCGACGAACAATTCAATTGTATTTCAAACGGAAGACCCGACAAAGATTTCCAGAAATTGAAGTGGAAACCTAGGAAATGTAGTTTACCAAGGTACGTTGGTTGAATTTTTGTTTGCTTAATATACAATTGAAATTATAAGGCTCTGTGAATTCCGATTTACCACATCATTCATTTTTGTAATAATAGATTTTTAATTAAAAATGAAGGTTAAATGGAGGTGTTTTGCTGGAGATGCTTAGAGGAAGAAGGCTAGTGTTTGTTGGGGATTCACTAAATAGGAACATGTGGGAATCTCTGGTTTGCATTCTTAAAGGATCAGTGAAAGATGAGAGCAAAGTCTTTGAGGCCAGTGGAAGACATCATTTCCGTGGAGAGGCTGAGTACTCCTTCGTCTTCCAAGTAAATATACATCTCTTTATACATTCATTTGCTTTTCTTAAAAACTTGTTCATGGTTTTCATCAATTCGGGTTTTTTTTTTGGATTTGACAGGATTACAATTGCACGGTGGAGTTCTTTGTTTCACCGTTCTTGGTCCAAGAAACGGAAATTACTGACAAAAAGGGAACGAAGAAGGAGACTCTACGGCTGGATTTGGTCGGCAAGTCCTCTGAGCAGTACAAAGGAGCGGATATTATTATCTTTAACACTGGACATTGGTGGACTCACGAGAAAACATCCAAAGGGTAATAAATAAATAAAACACTCTTGATCTACTGGCAGTTGCTCTGTTTCTGTGTTTGTAATGTAGAACTGATGTTTTTGTTTGTTGTGTGTTTAAAAAGGGAGGATTACTACCAAGAAGGAAGCAATGTTTATCACGAACTCGCTGTACTTGAAGCTTTCCGTAAAGCTTTGACCACATGGGGTCGATGGGTCGAGAAGAATGTGAATCCGGAGAAGACCCTTGTTTTCTTTAGGGGTTACTCCGCCTCACATTTCAGGTAAATGCTCTTTGGATCTTCCTCGTCTCTGAACTGATACTAAGGTCTGAAACGATCGAAATCTAAAATATTGAATCGTTTTGCAGTGGTGGGCAATGGAACTCGGGAGGAGCATGCGACAGCGAAACAGAACCGATCAAGAACGAGACATACCTGACCCCGTACCCGTCTAAGATGAAGGTGCTAGAGAGAGTGTTAAGGGGAATGAGAACGCCCGTGACGTATCTAAACATCACCAGATTAACGGATTACAGGAAGGACGGACACCCGTCGGTGTACCGGAAACATAGCTTATCGGACAAGGAAAAAAGAACGCCGTTGCTGTACCAAGACTGCAGCCACTGGTGCCTCCCTGGAGTTCCCGACTCTTGGAACGAAATCCTCTACGCCGAGCTGCTCGTCAAACTCAACCAGCTCGACCAAACACGACGGAAACCTTAAAAAAAAGGTTCTTCTGTCTCAAATGCTTTGATATCTGTTTGATGGCTTTTTGTTGATTATAGAATGTGTTATAGAGTAAAAGAAGATGGAAAATATGATTGTACTTCACTCGATATCTTTGCTACTGTTTGTTGTAAATGCTTTTGTCACTCACTACGAGATTACTACATTTAGCTCCAAAAGAGAGGTTATATACTTATTACTCATTTACAATAATGGGACTGATTCCAACAATCGTTGTGAGATTATATTTGGTGATCTAAATGGTTTTGCCGACTGTTCTTTTTCTACAAAAGAAAGTTCTAGTTTTTACGAAAAATGTAAAATGTAAACGCAAGAAATAGCAATTTGAAACCATGGATGTGAGAGTTTAATGTGGAGTTTTCCGATCACCGACAATTAAATTATACAAATAATTTTGTCCAATTTGGGGAAAGAATAGGATCTGAAGACTTTTTGTCCAATTTGGTCACGATGTTTCACATGGGATGTTTGGACTTTTTGACCACGAAGGTCGTTAAAAAAAGTCCGTTAGGTCAAATGCTTCTATGAGTTCAGTGCGATTGGATCCAACCTGGTGCAGTTGTTTACCACGTGGCATACCTCAAAACATATTTAATTCTGAATTAATTTAAGAGACTTATACATGTGACTATCTGGTTGGAGCTTGGGAAAAGCAGATGTGTGTTTATGTTTGTGTAGAAAGTAAGATTAACGGATACGTAAAATTGAATGAAACTGAGAATATCTGACGTACGCCGCACGAGACTCACCCGTACAAATTTATCAATGATTTGGAGTTGAAACACTACACACACAAAAAAAAAAAAAAATTCAATTTGATACTAGAATTTTGCTAAAAAAATAAATACGGTGAATATAACAACCGGTTTACCACAGGTAAATTCCGTGCCAATAAAGTTTCTGCAAAATCACCGCAATCTTCTGATGGGACTTATAAATAGTTGTGCAACGAGAATTTTTTGACCATAACGCAAATTCTGAAATGTGGCAACTTTTTTTTAAGTAGAATAAACTCGCCTCAAATTTGTCATTTTACCTAATTTCTTTTGTAAAAGTCTTTGCTGATTTACATCCCTAGACCCATATATTTGTGGTGAAAAAATATTTGCGGTAAAAGTCTCTAGCTTCTAATCATTGTACCTAATTTCTTTAGCAAAAGTTTTTGTGGATCGACATCCTTACACACTACAAGGAGTTATAAATTTAAACATAATCTATGAGAACACCAAGAACATTTTTTTTCTTGGCTAGACCGAGCTCTTGATAACAACCATTCGGCAATTGACATTGTTGCCAAGAACTAAGCCAGACTCCTGATCCTAAGTAGCGATTATCAAACCGCAAAATGCAACTGAACCTATCCCGTATACTTCACATTTGAGAATGGCCTGACTATGTGTTGATGTTGGAGGACATAAATGGTGAGGATTCTATGCACGAGAAACCATTTTGCTTTAATAAAAGAAAAACAACTTTACGAAAGATGAAGAAGATATCAAACCACCTTTCTTTTTTTTTCCTTTTTCTCTTTGTTGTCTTTCACTCAATAAACATGTAAACCCTTATCCGGTCCTATCCAAAGAAAAACAAACACGAACCGGATCGATAATCGCTCTAGTCGTCTTTAAAAATAGGAGACGGTCGGTCCCAAATACTATGGAAAATATATCTTAATATATATACACAAGAAGATTAATTTTTTTTAAAAAAAACCACTCCCATTTGCTCAAACTGTATTGGGTGAAGGGTAACCATATATTTGGCACTTGCTTTCATGAAACTTGTTTGGCCGGTCGAGGCTTAACCGGATATGATGATGTGGACAAACCGATGTTGTGGGCAGCTGACGTGGAGGGCTGTGGTGCTGAAGTGGCAACGCGTTCGCAAGAAGGGCACATAGTGAGAGTGGTGGCAGGAAGTTGCATGTAGAAAGGAGAAGAAGTCTTTAAGGCTCTCAATTCTTTAACCTCTCTCTGAAGCCTCCGGTTTTCTTCGGTTAGTGACTCACAACATCTCTTTAGATATTCACAGTCCACTTCCGTTTGCTTCAGCTTTGTCCTATTATTCTCATTTATCAATCACATAACCCCCGATAAATAACTATCCAATATTGAATCCATGTTGCTTACATATGTAAGGAATAATATCAGGCAAAATCGTAATTGGTAGGCAAATTTGGACACATAGCAATTTTGAGAACATGATTAAGAGAAATAAATTTTGGTAAGCAAATTAGAAAGAAACTGCTTTGTCACTTTTCCAAGAAATGGTGGTTAATGCTTGACAACATCTTTAAGCTGTTGTCAACTTATTTTACTAGCTGTAGTACCATATATATAAATTTAAAAAACTTTTTTTTGACAACTGAAATAGTAATATTTTGTCTAAACCAAATATATAATGGTCATCATGACGACATTATGATAGAAATATTTTAAAAAAATATCAAGGGAAAAAATCATTTAAAAAAAAACAGTCGAAATATCTAATTTTTTCTTCTAACAGAACTTTTCGACTGTTGGATGAAGGTTCAATAGTTTTAGAACCTTTTTCTTTATTCAACAGTTTGAAATTTAATTTGTAGTATGTTTGTATAAGTAAAGAAGTTATGATATTTTGGTTAAATTGTAAAGAAGGCGTATGGTTTGTTTTCTTTTTATAAATAATAAGTCAGTATAAGCAATTGGAAATGATGAGCAGAAGTGATATGCTACTTTTACATGAAAAATGACAAGAATAGACATGCAACAGTGTGTTATTATTACTCGTGATGCATTTCGTCCTCATTCCTTTTTCAGAAATTAATCATCACAAAAAATATTTTTCCAAGAACAAAAAAAACGTTTCATAAAAAGAAAATGAAACTCTTTTGGTAATGGGATAAGCTAACCTGGCTCGTCTGTTTTGAAACCAAACTTCAACCTGACGAGGACGAAGATTCAACTGCTTCGCCAACGCAATCTTTTGCTTCTGCAATAGTTTTTATATCAAATAAAAAAATAAAAGGGTAAGATTTGGTTTTCTTTGTTATCAAAAAGATTTGGTTTTCTTTCAAAATAGAAATATATATATATATATATATATATAAATTAAGAACAAAAAGAATATGTAAGAATTATGGGAAACTGACAGGATTTAGGGTGCTGTGTTCTTTGAAGCTGTCTTCAAGAAAAGCAGATTGGTCTTTAGAGAGTCTTAGTTTCTTCCTGGTGGTTCCGTTTTCGTCATCGTTGTCTTCGTTGCTGGCTCTTGAAGCAGATCTCTCAACCTCATCATCGATATCTCTCTTATTACTTCTTCGCTCATAACCATAACTCTTAATACCAAAGTCCAACCGAAACGACGACGTTACGCTGTTGGGCGGCGACACTGACATTCTAGGCACCGCCTCATCTTCCTCCTCCGCCACCGTAGCTCCTCCTCCTTGCTGACCTGTAATTTGGCTTCTTTCTTCTTAAAAGAATAAAACCGATTGTTTCTTAAAGCCGAAATCAACACTAATTATCCGAATGTGTGGAAAAACAGGATAAATTTGTAATTTATAACATCCACTATTGATTTTGTTTTCTATTAGATATTTTTCTATAGAACCTAGTTCTTCTTTCTTGTCACAAATCAGTCAAACCATTTTGGGAAAATGATTTCAGCATCCCATCGACACATTATAATAAGTATATATATATATATTGTCGAAAAATATATTTTTATAAAATATAAAAAGCCAAATTCCCAAGCCAAATTAGGGATAGTAATAAGTTTCAAATGCTTTTTTGTGAGGAAAAAAAATCGATATTTTTTCTTTTGTGGGTACGTATATCTACACCATTTGATTACGAGAAGAGAAGCTGAAAAACCCTTACTGTTCTCAGGGAGCCAAGGGAAGTGAAGCTGAAGCTTTAATGACGGATCTACGGAAGACGAAACCCTAAATCCAGCAGAATCATTTGCTATCGGCGGCAGTTTATTTTTCTCATCTTCTACCGACGGAGACGAAGAGGATGACAACGATCTGTGACCAGAGAAACCAACATCGAAACCCATGCAGAACTCAAGATTCTTGTTGGAAGTTGAGGTCGACGAGGCAGAGGGATGATTATTATTAATCTTCGAGGGTTTCTCCAGAAAAGAGAACTTGTTAGTATTCTCGCCTAAACACAGTGCTAGTTCCATCTCTTACGAAGAAAATAAGAGTTTGAGAAAGAGAGAGAGAGTTTACAAGAAGATCTGTTTTGGCCTTATAGGAGTCATGGCATGAAGTGAACCCCACTTATTAATTTCCAAGTTCAATCTAATTTATTAATATTACTTATTATATATGTATAAGTTTTGGATCTTCTTCCTATAAATTCTGTTTTAATGATATTAGAATAAAAGAATTTGAGTTTCAGGAATAGTGTCGAGCGTTCTATAGTTGTTCTAATGTTTTTTGTTATGAACTATGAATTTTTGTTTTCACCTTTTCATCAGAGTGAATCATTAACTGAAATTCATAATTCCTAATCAAAATTAATTAACTTTAATATTATCACCATTTAATTAATAACACAATGAATATAAATTTATTTGTATACGTGAAATATTTTTAAATCTATGTATACTCTATAGAAAGTAAACTTATTTTATTTATTTATTAGTCTTTTTTTTAAACCGGTTAAAATAATAAAATACTCAGATCAACCAAAACGAACATAACATATTTTCTTTTTTTGTTTATTTTCTTGTTAATATATACTATATCCAATAAGATCTACCGAGAGAATTTAAATAGTTTTATAAAAAAATATATATACCAAGAAAAATGTGGTACAGTGTATTTTGGGGTTGAGATAGAGGTAAGGAGATTGACCGACAACTGCCGATTCACATACGCACGTGAATGCATATACCTCATTCTTATTGCACGAGACTGGCGCCTTGTGTGTTTATGTTACCATGTACCCTCTCTATATACAAATATATGCATTTATGTTTCAATTTGTAAGATGAAGGTCGAGTCTTGAGGAAATTGTATACATTTTTATTTTAAAAGAAAACAACATGAAATTTCCCATATTAGTATGCAACTCTTCCATTTCAAAATACTTTTCAAATAGTACAAAAGATAACAAAAACTTATATTTCGGAAGATTTTGGTGGTAATTATCAAATAGAGTTAAAAGTGAAGTTATACACGAATAATACAACTAGTCAACTACACATCTGAAGATGCAAAATAAGAAGTAATTCTTTCGATATAGCTCAGTTATGATTTCCGGATTATTATTTACATACTTAGTTCATCACTATGCAGTTTTATAGTATGTTTTTTTTTACCTGATCTTAAGTATTCCATTCAAGTAAAGTAGTAAACCCTTAAGGAATTAGTGGTTTTCTTGAACATAGTAGAAGACTGTTTGTTGAAAATTATTGAAGACCATAATTACTTTGACCGGGCAGCGTAATTCTTGGTCACACGTTAATGATGACGACTTTGAATTCTTAAGTTTTAAGAGATTTTAAAAGAAAAGTGGAAGTTGTTGAAGAAAAAAAAGCAGAATAATTATAATTGGAAGTAAAAAAAAAGGACATTGTGACGGTTGACATCGTATTTACCGTTTAACACTGCATTTAAATAAAGCTGATTTTCTTCTTCTTTATTCTAGAATAAGAGCCGCAAATTACAATTAAGCATTAATTAATTATTATAGACTCAGAGAAGGGAATGTTTCATGAAAAATATGCTCTACTTATATTTACCGAATAAAAAGGGCGAACAAGACATAATGATTACCGATGACACTTAATGATGAAAAGAATTATAACGTGAAAACGATGACCCATCAAACGGTCACGAAAACACTCAAATCGATTTTTTTTTTTTTTTATAAGTTTGACCAAAATTGTTATGGGCTCAAAACTTTAGTCATTACGGCGATGGTCCTAGAAAAACTTGATTAATGTGTTCTTACCCAAACCAACATCATGAATACAGTTTTCATCACTTCTTTCTAACTTATTGCAAGCTGCTATCAAGAAAAGTTCTAGACATTAAATAGCTTCATTATTATGTGTATGAAATCTGAATGGTAACATGTGATGGATATTATTGTTAGTTTCAAATAGTACATTTGTTATTAATTGCAAAACTGTAGGGTTCGATTGATAATTCATGGAATAGTCGAAATTATACAATTTCTAGTTAAATTATACAATTTCTAGTTTAAAACCAATCACATAAACATGTAAAATCATTCGACGATATTGCACCCGAAAAGATGAACTTTGTATATGTACCAAGTTTTACAAACTCTGAGAAGTTTGCAAGAAGTCGAGTAAAATTAAATATTCACGCTGTCACGTGACACATTTTAATTTTTCTGTTTTTTGTTTTTTGTTTTATGCATCTTAATAAGGTCTAATACTCTAGTTCGCTTCTAAAAAATATGTCTTTAAATACGATGATGAGTTTTCTTTTTCCATTAAAAACTATGATAATGGATATTGGTCGCCGGATGGTATCAGTAGAAACAAAATCTAAGGAACAATATATGCCGCTTATTATAACATAAAATAGTTCATTTTCTTCTTTTCAAATCTATCACTAGATAGCGATATTTATGTTTTCTCTTTCACTATTTCGTAACATGATTTTAACCGATGTCGACGATATAATATATATGAGGCTCAAGTTCCATATCATATTCCTTCTACATATATATAAAAAAAATAAAAAATCTTACGTGTATGTTTTTTTTCTAGAATTTCTAAATCTAATTTGGGAGTGGAGTTATGGCTAAACACGAATAGAGAGAGTGAAAGGACCCACACGCGTGGGACGCGGATGATATCCTCAACAAAAGATTGCGGGTGTCATGCTTTTAGCCTCCTTGCAATAATTGAAGTCATGCATACTCTTATTATTATTACGATGTCAATTTTTTTTTTATGGCTTTTCAAACTTTCTCTCAATTATTTATCTCCACTCTGTCCTACTAAATTAATTATTGCATTCTATTTTCCTTTTTGTAAAAAAAGATTTTATCTATCAACCATATTCTGAATTACCTGTATGTTTTTATGGTTGTGTATAATATAAACCAAACACCCAATGTTGTTATAAACAGAGATATGTTTTTGTCTGAGTTTGAGTGAACTTCACTGCCTGTATATTTATCTAACGTATAGTATTATAAGCCAGTTAAGGATAACGTATACTTTGCATGGGCCTTTAACACTAATATTAAACTATATTAATATATAAACCCCTTTCTTTGGAACCTTAATATACTCTATTTTGTTGTCTGCATGTTGCTGCTATTGACATTTACTTTTATAGATTAAGGTTTTCAAAACGTGTATTTAATAATTAATAATCAAGCACATGAGCAGTGAAGTTAAAGAGGAGAGAGTCACGTGACAACGCGCCTGAGGAGGTGATGATGTGTGTTTGTGTAAATGGACTCATGGGTCAACAGAGCGATTGTGATGAATTGATGAACCGGTGGGGTTCACTTTGTCTTGCTTGAGAAGATGCAAATCTCCACACAGGCAATCATTTGTTCATTGGACCCTTTTTTCCTCTTTCTTAAAAATTAAGTTTCCGTTAAATGCTATAGTATCATTCTATTTGTTCATCTTCATTCTTTTCTCTCGTGGGCAAATAGTATAGTCATACGTACTCAAGTGTTTAAAGTTTATCAACTGAAAGCTGTGACTATCTTAACTACAAATGTCACAAGAGTAAAAAGACTTATACCTTTATGTCATTTTTACAATAGTCAATCTAGTAGATGTTAGTTACAACATTCGACTAACAAATTATAATCGACATATTATTACTAAATGAGTAATTAACCTCAAGTCATGGACCCTGACTCCAATTAAATCCAAATAAGTAACCCGTAAACCTTGGACGATTAGACCTGATATAAAACTCCATTTTATAAAGTTAAAAAAAAAGACTCCATTTTTATCCAAACTCAAAGTCAATCCACCGAAAGACATATCAATTCTCGAACCAGTGGGCTTCTTACTCAAAGCTTCCTTTACACACAAAATCAACATTTATCCTAAGATCTCATTTTTCTTTTATTTAACAGATTTTGGTCGCCATTCAACCAATTTCCAAGTCGAATGGATAAGAACAATATTCACATTCAAAGTTTTTCTTTTTCCTAAAAATGTTTTTGTTTGGTTTTTTATAACTCCTAATCAAAGCTTTTAAAAACTTACAAAAGATGATCCATAATTACTCATATTGCGAGAAATGAATAGCCTATGCATTGAGTCAATAAACTGGCAGAAAATAGTTAGCAGAAAAAAGAAGATGAAAATTGATGAAATTAGAATACTGTCCTTGCGTTTTTGATCTATTTATTTTTTGAAAAGTCATAACCTTTTCTCTAGTATATTAACCTTTTCTCTAGTATATTCTTAAAAAAAATCTTGGGATTTTTTTATAAATTATTAGGATTTTTTTTTTTTTTGCATTTGTTTTAATTTTTCTACTTTAAATAAATTATAGTATATATTATTTCGAGAAATGGATGTTGTATGAATATTTCAATTTGCCAAAACAAGAAAGTGACTACCAAAGTATTTACAACGCTCATACTACGCTAGAGGAGAAAGGGAAAATTACATTCGTATTTAGAAGTTAAACGTGGAAGGAGATCGCTTTATATTGACCGCAAATTAGCCTATCGAATTATTTTCTGTCTCCCATAAATATCAAATGTAAATTTAATTTGTCGGTGAAATGATTTCACAAGGACTGTAATGATAGTCGGTTTTCTTTTACTTAAATTGGGGGAGCTTAATCCCATAAATTCTACCCAAAAAAAGGACTGTAATGATAGTTGATAATTTGATATACATGTTGGACGGTTTTTGTTTTCGTTATCGATTGGAGCCTAGAGGATAATTTCCCAATGATAAATTCTCTGCTGGAGCCTACAGGATAAGTTGATCATTTTACAAAAGAGAAGACTTCTACCTTTTCTGCATTCTCCCCCTCCGTAATAACCAAATGATTCGAACAACATCCATTACAATGTGAAAAAGAAAAAAGAATGTAAGCTAAAGAGTAGTAATTATAACTAAGGATGTGAGGTTATTAATGGGGATATGAGATCATAGAAGAAAAATAGAAACAGAGAAACTCAATGTATTACAACTGGATGTCCTCTGCTTTAGTAGCTGACTGGCCATTAACCACCTTACAATCTTGTCTAACCTCTCCACTAGTCCCCGTCAAGGGACTTATATTCCCCATTTTGATCATGGACTGAGCAAAGGCCTCGAAAAACAGAGTTTGGTTACTTGCGAAGGAAGTAACAATCGCAATGGTGGGCGAACCGGTATCAGAAAACAGTTCTTGGTCAGACTGTAGAAGACCATTGTTGCTCTGAAGGTTGGTGAAGTAATTATTATCGAACGCATCAGGTGTGCTCAGGTCGAGATTGGTGATCCCTGATCCGCTGCCGTTTTGAGGACAAATCTGTTGAAGACTGCTGAGAAGTGTTGAGTTCAGAGTCGGGTCGGGACTACCTGTCCCGTTGAAGTTGAATAGTCTATTGTTGAAGGTTGTGCAGTTTGCACGTCCAAAAGTATGCGCTCCTATGCACATTAAACCACACAAACAACAGCATTAATTAGGGTTTTTGTTTGAATTGAGACGCAAGTAACTAAAAAAGTCGATTAATTTACCAGACAGGGCTACTAGATCGGTTATATTTAGCCCCACAGCTAAAAATTTAGATGTGATGTTGTTAAGGCCTTCGAATGGAGAGGAAATGGACGAATTTGCCCCGGCTTGATTCGCTGTGAGGCCATCTCTCCTTCCTAATAAGACAGTCCATGTAGGCCCTCCTGCCTGAAGATAGATGAAATTCAAACATGTTTCTTTCTTGTATAGATGAATGTGAACATACTAAGGGGGTGACTTGGAAGAGAAATGATAGATATCCGACGTGAAACCGCTTTAATAAGCGTTTGGTTGTGTAGTTTAGATTCAGAAAACCTATCGGCCCGGATGAAATTTGAGTGCTCCTACGTATTGTGTTTGACCACTTTCTATACATTCTTTATCCTCTCTGATAATGAACAAACAAAAACAAAATATTCACAAAATTTGGGATTAAATCTATTATTGCCAAGGAAAAAGAAAAGAAAAGTGGAGGTATGAACCCTTTTAAGTTGGGATATATATACATTATGTTCGCATTATCATCCAAAGCAACAACAATCTCACAGATTTCTGTAAGATGGCGGTTTGGTGTTCCTTTAATTTCAACTTTTCTCATATATATATATATATATCCCTATATCTATATTCCTTAACCATAGGGAAGCAGGAAAGTCCCTTACATTTTCATTTTTTTAATGATAATCAGAGTATACCCTTTTTCTTCTAACCCCTATTTATAATTACATGATTTTTTATCGAACTAAATTCATAAGACCCGGCAGTCTTTTTAAGAATCTCGTGTCTCTTCATTCTCTCACGTTGGAAGATGACGGTTAGGTCAAAATAGAACCATATAAAAAACCATGCATGCACAATTACAATGAAAATAGAAAATGTGTAAAAGTTTGATGGGGCTGGCTTAATGAACCATGCAAAATTTAATATGAAAATAAATCAAAAACCATGCATGCACAATTTTATTTGTCGGTGAATTGAATTCATTCCACAAGGACTGTCGCGAAGTCATGATGGTTGATAATTTGATATACATGTTGGACTACTTTTGTTGTCGTTATTGATTGTGGATCGTAAATAATTTCTCAGTGATAAATTCTTTGTGGGAGCCTGCAAGATAAAGTTGATATTTTTTTTACTAAAGAGAAGAATTTTATATTTCTGCGTTCTCCGTAATAACCAAATGATTGAAATCGTCATTAGAATGTAAGCTAATGTATAATTACATGCGAAGCTGGAAAATTTGATATTTACGAAACGAATTATGAACTAAAAATCTAAAACTATAATTTGTTCAAAACTACAGGAACAAACATAATTTTTATAGTGAACAATTATATATTTTGCTGATAGTTTAATGATGTTTATATCACCATAAAAAAAAAAGAGAGTCAACAGTTAGATAAACATTTGGAATTTGACGTTGCAATTCGGAAATTAGAAATTTGATATCAACTAGAGCTTGCTGATAGTAAACAAGATGATTAGAAAGAGAGCTTTAAGGAAATCAACTTCCATTAACCTTCTTACAGTCTAATCTAATTTGTCCACTACTCCCTGTTAAGGGACTAATATTCCCCATATTGATCATGCAAAGGCCTGAAAAAAAAAGTGTCTGGTTCAAATTCTGGCAGTCGGCTGACAAAGGAGGCCTATCAAATTTAGGGTTATCAAATCAATCAAAACCTTGCCATTTCGATTTCATCACATTCAATCTGACTTCTTGCGTTGCCGTTTTTATCGATTGCTTGTTGCGAAAGGAAGAATGATGTGGTCAAACGCCACAGTTTAGGAGGGTTTGTCTAGTATAGATTTTTTTTATCCAACTATCAAAACAGTTTTCGATCGATTGCACTTAGCAGCATAACATAAGATAATCAAGGCAATTAAGATTTTGCTAGGATCTCGAGCGGTTAACCGAAACATCTATAACCGGAATGGTTTGCCCATTCTAGATATCTCGAAAAATCAGAGACATAGTAATCAAGAAATCGTTCGAAAATCAGGAGGGAAAAACGCAAACTCTTTACCAAAGTTCGAAGAAATTGTCAGAAACGTTTGTTCACATACGCTGCTCGGTACAGGAATCAAATATCAGATGGATCACGTATTGCGCTTCTAGTGATAACCGCGTTGATAGTCACAACTACTTATCAAACAGCTCTTCAACCACCAGGAGGTGTTTACAAAAGCAATGCTGAGGAAAGTAGTACAAAGAGTCTTGGTACGGTTGTGATGAACCAGATTTATTTCTATGTTCCTTGTAACAATTTATGATTATTATGATTAACCGAAACTTTTTGAAAATGATTATTAATTACGACAGAAAAACGATAGTTGACCGAATCATCTCCAACATTTTATAACAATATATTAATGTGATATTTTTTTATGTCGGTTAATGTTTTTTTTTTAATATATAATCATTTGTTGCAACAAATAATTGGCGTGTAAGTTTTCGGATAATCTAAATTTCGAACCAGCTGGTAAAAGTAAAAATAGAAGTCTCTGATCATGTATGTATATGGTAATTAGAACTTAATTTCGACCTCTTCTTAGAGAATGTATTAAATTGATCTAGCCGTCATCTTCCAACGTGAGAGAGAAGAATGAAGAGACAAAAGATTCCTTTTGATCTCGTGATCGAGATTCTTAAAAGACTGCCGGCAAAATCCCTTATGAGGTTCAAAATAGTTCGATAAAAAAATGTAGCTATACAAATATGGGTTAGAAGAAAAATGATATAAGTCTATTTACTTTTTTTTTTTTGAAAAACTACGGGACTTTCCTGTTTCCCTATGGTTAAGGAATATAGCTAGGGTTTTTAGATAACAAAAAAAAAAAAAATAGGCTATCCAAATTTTTGGATCACAAATTATTATTATTGGTTGACACTTAAAAATATGGTTAACCTAGCCGTCATCTCCCAACGTGAGAGGATAATGAAGAAGAGACAAAATACTGTTTAATTAAAAATTTAAAATATTGAGTTCAGTCAAATATAATTATGGAAATATTGGTTTATAGAGGAAAATTAAAAGGATATTTATTGATAACTAAGAAAAAAAGAGGAAAATCTATATTCCATTAAAATATTGAGTTCCATTAGAATCTATATTCCATTAGATGAAGCCCTTTTTTAATATATTACAGTTCCATTAAAATCTATATTCCATTAGATGAATCCTTTTTATAATATATTCCAAATCCATTAAAATATTGAGTCCGGTCAAATATAATTATGGAAATATTGGTTTATAGGGAAAAGGATATTTGTTAATAACTAAGAAAAAAAAAGGAGGAAAATCTGCGAAAGTTTCTTGTTTCGATATGATTAAGGAATAGAAGGGTTTTAGATAAGAATAAAAAAAACCATGTACTGTATTAAGTTTGTGAAGGCCACCAAAAGTTTTCCATCACAAACTATTGTGTGACACAAAAACATATTTTCTTTTGACCTAGCCGTCAGATTCCAACGGGAGAGAAGAATGAAGAAGAGATCGAAGGTAATAAGAAGACGCATCTATCGTAAGAGACACGAGGCTTCGCCGGACATTGCTTTTGATCTCGTGATCGAGATTCTTAGAAGATTGCCTGCTAAATCCCTGATGAGGTTCAAATCCGTCTCGAAGCGTTGGTCATCCTTAATTTGTTCCAAATACTTCACCGACCGTATCCTAAAGGTTTCATCATCGTCACCGCGAGTATACATGTGGTTGGGCTTCTTTGGCAACAGTCCCCTCGAAAACGTATTACTATCGTCGTCGTCTTGTCCTGACTCGGACATTACTACTATGTCTTCCTTTGTACTGGACCAAAAATTGACAATAGAAAGCTACTCCAGCTGTCAAGTTTATCGCGGTTTCATGTGCTTCACAAGTGGTACAAGGGCACAAATATATAACACTACCACTAGGCAACTGGTAGTCTTAGCCGGCATAGAGGAATCCAAAATCATAGCTGAAGATCACAAGAGTAAGAGTATCATGTACACAATCGGACACGATCCCGTTCACGATCGATACAAAGTGGTTTCCACATGTTTCATTCACAAAGACGATGGAGAGACGTTCATGTCAGAGCATTGGGTCTTGACACTAGGAGGAGATGTATCAAGTCGATGGAGAAAGATTACACGCGGATATCAACCACATAGGCCTTCAAGTAAAAGCTTCACAATCAATGGGCGTATGCATTACCTTACGTGGGATTATTTGCCTCATCCTGTGCGTGTCCTTGTGACTTTCGATATTAGTTCTGAAGAAATCAGTATGCTCCACGTACCTGATTATTTGTCTCCTGAGTATGCGGATCTTATAATAGGATACGATGGAAGAGTGACTCTTTTAGACGGTACAGAATTTATAGACGAAGGTGTGATGAAACTATTGGTTATGGAAGATGTAGAGAAGAATCGCTGGTCGATGAAGACTTTGGAGTTGCATCCTTGTCAAAAACATATGTTCGACGGCATCGATTGGAAGGTAAGCGACACAACTATAAATGGTGAGGTTATCTTGGTGCCAGAAATTGTAACTCGCACTCCTCGAACCGGCAAGTTTACCCATAAACCACAGACTACAAATATTTTCCATGCTTTGCTCTACAATCTAGAAAAGAATCAAGCCGCTATATAAATAGATTTTGGAGTGTTATTGGATTTGATGATATTGAGAACTTAATGTATCTCTAAACGCTTGTGCCTTTTTTTTTTCGTGGAAACATTCTATATAATTATGTTTTGGTGGTTTACCAAGCACCACTGTATAGAGCCGTGTAAGTTCTTGTGGCTCTATATTCTTTTTGATCTCTCAAAATTTGCTTAGAGTTCGATTTTGGTTATATATTCACATTTGATCCTTTTGGTATTGATAACAAATTACCCTAAGCCTTTTTAAACGCTGAAAGTTTGTGCTTTTGCTCAT